GCGACTACCACTACGGCCACCCCGACAGCCCCAACTAGCGTACCACGCACGAAGCTGCTGGGGCGAAAGAGGACACGGCAGCTGCACCTGTCCACTACCAGAAGCTCCCGACCGACCCACTCCAGAGCGACTACCACTACGGCCACCCCGACAGCCCCAACTAGCGTACCACTCACGAAGCTGCTGGGGCGTGAGGGACTCACGCGCACGGCCCTGGAGCTGCATCTGGCCACGCCAGGAGTAGCAGTAGCAGTAGTAGCGGCAGTAACAGCAGTAACAGCAGGAGCAGTAGCAGTGGGAGTAGAAAAGGCAGTAGCAGCAGTAGCAGCGGTAGCAGTGCTGGCAGGGCAATGCTCACCAGTGGTCGGCGCGGCAGGCGCAAGACGGTGGCGACAGCGGGGCCGCTACAACTGCAGGGCGGGGCCGGGCCGCAGCAGGGAGCTCCGCGGCAGCTGCTGCAGGGCGAGGCCGGGCCGCGACGGCAGCTGCTCCAGGTGCCAGGGGCGGCTGCTGCAGTGGCGACTACTCCAGGGGCCAGGGGCGGCTGCTGCAGCGGTGGTTGCTCCAGGGGCCAGGGGCGGCTGCTCCAGGGGCGAGGGGCGGCTCCTGCAGTGGCGGCTGCTCCAGTGGCCAGGGGCGGCTGCTGCAGGGGCGGCTGCTCCAGAGGCCAGGCGCGGATTAGGTCAGGGCGACGCGGCGAGCAGGGCGACGCGGCGGGCAGGTGGCGACGCCGCGGGCAGGGCGACGCGGCGGGCAGGTGACGACGCCGCGGGCAGGGCGACGCGGCGAGCAGGTGACGACGCCGCGAGCAGGGCGACGCGGCGGGCAGGGCGACGCGGCGAGCAGGTGACGACGCCGCGAGCAGGGCGACGCCGCGAGCAGGTGGCGACGCCGCGGGCAGGGCGACGCGGCGAGCAGGTGACGACGCCGCGGGCAGGCGACGACGCCGCGGGCAGGCGACGACGTCGCGGGCAGGCGACGACGCCGCAGGCAGGCGACGACGCCGCGGGCAGGCGACGACGCCGCGGGCAGGGGCTACGTCGCGGGCAGGTGACGACGCCGCGGGCAGGCGGCGACGCCGCGGGCAGGACGACGCGGCGGGCGGCGAGAGCCTGTAGGGGCGGCGCGCGGTCGGGCAGAGGCTGCGCGCGGGCCTGACGAGTCTGCAGGGGCGGCTGTCGGGCCTGACGGGCCTGCAGAGGCGGCTCGGGGGGGGCCTGACGGGTCTGCAGAGGCGGCTCGGGGGCCTGACGGACCTGCAGGGGCGGCTCGAGGGCGCACGAGGGCGTTCGAGGGCGCACGAGGGCGCACGAGGGCGCACGAGGGTGCACGAGGGCGCACGAGGGCGTACGAGGGCGCACGAAGGCGCACGAGGGCGCACGAAGGCGCACTAGCAGAGAAAGGCGCACGAGGGCGCACGTAAGGTAGGGCGCACGAGGGCGCTTCTAGCGGAATAGTGGGCCCATAGTAGAAAGCGGTCCTAGGTAGCAACCTAGGCTCGTGATACCATGTTAGAATCTAGAATAGAACGAGGATGAATGACTAAGGGAAAGTTGGGTACAAATGTAAACCCTAGAAAACTGTACCCCATATGTGCTACCCCACTATAGCCTACAGTAGCTATGTCATATAAATCTGACAACAGGTACAAGCGCAGGGCTCATGACCATCGGCTTGGCTACCGCCACAACCTTATCTTCTCCAAACAGGTACTCCACAAGGGTCAGAGCAAACTCAAATGCCGTCCCCGCCCCTCGACTCGTTACAATCGGACCATCAACCACCACACGTGCTGACACCGCAGATTGATCCGCAAGCTGGTCAGAAAGGGATGGGTGTGCTGTGGCCTTCTTCCCTTGGAGTAACCCCTTAGACTGGAGCACCACAACCGGAGCAGCGCATATGGCCGCACACAGCCGCCCGTCAGCCACTTGCTCACGCAGAATTACATCCAGCAAGTTGCTGTCGCGAAGGTGGTTTACCCCGGGAATACCCCCCGGAACGAACACGAGGTCAAACTTACGCCCCGCAGCAGCCACATCCGTGAGGGTGGCGTCAGCTGTGAGATTCGTCCCGCAACGCAGCTTCAAATCCAGAGAATCGCTGACAGAAGCAACAGTGACTTTCGCTCCTGCACGCACGAGCACGTCAATGGGAACAACCGCCTCCACATCCTCTGTTCCGTCAGCCACTGCCACCAGTACCGTCACTTCCTCCCCTTCCTTCTTCGGCTTGGGAATCTTATCCTTATTTTCCACCACACGCAGCAAATCAGATCCATCCCCCTTTGCAGCTACAATCCCTGCAGCTACTTCGGCTGCTTTCGCCTCCCCAAACAGCCGAGTTGCCAACGCAAGCGCAAACTCAATTGCGGTTCCGGGGCCGCGGCTGGTAACCACGTTACCGTCTTCCACGACTCGAGATGCAGTAACAGCTGGGTCAATGCCAGTCAACTTATCAGAGAAGGCTGGGTGGGCTGTGGCTTTGGTGGTGGCAGTGAGGACGCCCCAGGATTGGAGGGCCACCACAGGGGCAGCGCAGATGGCAGCCACGGACGAATGGGGGAGCGACATGTGGCGCTCCACAATCTGCTTGAGGGGTGCGCTGTCCCGCAGGTACTCGGCGCCTGGCATGCCTCCTGCAGGAAAGAAAGCAGGGAGAAGGAAAGCGAGATACGAAAGAAAGCAAAAAAAAGTGTTGGGCGCCTGAGTAACACGCTAGAGGGGCTCGCTGTCCCTCGGGTGTCCCGCGCCTGGCATGCCTCCTGCAGGAGAAAAAGAGACGAGATGTAGGTAAGAGTCATAGCATCTTCCACAAGGTTCCTGGTCCCATGTCATGTCACTTGAGGTGTCTTAACACTTAGATGTCCCATGCTGCTGCTCCCGCAAAAAAAAAATCGTTCTTCGTGATTGTTTCAGGGATACCAATCCCTCGTTTGAAGCACATTACCTGGCAAGACGACAAGGTCGAAATCCGTATCCACGACCGACGTGATGACGTCATCAGCGACGAGCTTCACTCCGCGCGACGCGACGATCGCCTTCCGCGGCTCGACGGACGCAACAACCACCTCGGCTCCCGCGCGTCTAAGCACATCCACTACAATCACACTCTCCATCTCCTCCGTCCCCGTCGCGATCGGTACAAGCACCTTCTTGGGCTTCGCGGCGCCCCCGCTGTTGTCACCCTCGCCCGCCATGGCTCTCGAGGTGACTGAAACGCGCGAAACTGGGAGGTTGTGACGCGCGCAGAGGCCTGCGGAACCGGGGGAAACGACGCGTGAGGACCGTGCTGTAGAGAGCGCAAAGGCGGAAGACAGTGGGGTCGGAGCACTCCTCCGAGGAGCAAGCGCGACGGGGAAAACTTGCGCGGAGATGAGTCGCGGAGACGAGGCGGCAGGCCGCCTGTAAGACTGGGTAAAGCGGGAGAGAACGACAGCTGATTGGTGTGGGTGGGAGGAAGCAACCCGAGAAGCACGCCGAGCTGCAGTGGTGGCGACAGCGGTAGCGGAAGCGGATGCTGCGGCGGCAATAACGGCAGGCATGGTGGAGTAGGATAGAATGACAATATGAGAATGCAATGAAGGATATTTTGAAGATTCTAGATTCTTCTGTGGGTGAATTCGACCCCGTTATTGCCTCACCTGCCACAAGCCCACCCAATCATGTGGTTAGATCAAATTGTTTATGGAAGGGATAAACAATAATCCTAGCCTACCTAGAGAATTCTAGAACCTTATGAAGATACTATATCGAGTGACTTATTACGGATACAAACTTCCTGCATATTTCCTAGATTTCATCCTGCCGACTTCTGACAACTTAGTGATCTGTCTGAATAGGATCAATCAGCCATGAAGCATAAGCGTTAGTTTTCGAAGTTCTACGACGCGAAGTCGCAAGTGCAGGCTAGGCTGCTGTCGGCTTCCCTTCCAATCGACTCTGATCCAGTAAGAAGCGAAAGGCAAGGTTACACATTTCGCGATGGCGAAAAAGGATCGGCGAGCATCGCAAACTGCCAAGCCGCAGAAGAAGGTGAAGTCGCCAGCGGAGATCACGGCGGATAAGCTTCGGTATCACAGAGAATTGGACTCGCGATGGGCGATCATTCGCGTAAGCTCAGCATTCACCGTTCCTTATCATCACCGTACCTTATCAGTCCGCAGTTCACCTTTCTTACTCTTCCTCGTGATCTTCATCTTTTCACTGGCAACACTGATCCATGCATACCACAGAGAATCAAACTCTCGTTCATCTATTGTTGTCGTAAGCTCGCTCCTCGTTGTCTCGTGTTTTTCCTACGCATTTTCAGATTGTTGGGATGTTGCAATTTCTCCGCGAACCAGCTTCTTTGTCGTCCTTCGTTACACCCCCTCCTCTATTTCAGGAAAACCGGGTCGAGTATTTTCGCGGCAAGGATTTTGCAGACCTCATTCGTAAACACCCCGATCTCGCGACGCCCTTAATCCCCGCGGAAGATGCCGCGAGCCTTCGCAAGCCCATTGAGGAGGCCGTGTTTCACGCGCTCGTGGAGGCTCAGCTGGTGGTGCGCTGCGATCGAGTCGTGAAGACCCTCAGAACCGGCCGGAAAAAGCTCTCGAAATGGCCGGCACGGCTTGACTTTCATCAGGTACTGATTTTGGGCTGGCTGAGGCGCAAGGGGCAGGGGGAAGAGGCTGGTTTTGAACCAGTGAGGCTCAGAGGGTAGCTAGGGGTTGGTGGATGCTCAGCTGGTGGTGTGGTGCGATCGAGAGTGGTGAAGACCCTGAGTCCCAGTTGAAAGAGCCTCTGGCCTGCGGGGCTGGACTTTCACCAGGTACTCACCCATTGTGGCTTGATCCTGGATGTACGAGCGCCAGCAGCCCGTGTGGCAGACCACCCTCTCCTTCCTTTCACTCCTCAACTTTCCAGCTCTCTGTTCCTCTCCTCCGGGCTCCCATCTCCCTTCTCTTCGTCTTCAATTCCTTCTCTTCTTCCCAGAATCAAGCATTGCAGTGGGTGATGCCTTCTATTCCTGGATGTACGAGCGTCAGCAGCCCTTGTGGCGAACCTCTCCTTGCCGCCCCTCTGTTTCTAACTCACCCTTCCGCTCTTCGACTCTCCCTTCTCTCCACTCTTCGTTCCGAACGCCAGGATAAGGCATTCACAGTGGATAAGGCATTCACAGTGGATGATGGCTTCTATGCCTGGATGTTCGAGCTCCAGTTCCCCGTGTGGTAGGCCACTATAACTCTGATGATCCTATCTTTCCAGCTCATTGCTCCTCCTCACTGTCCCTTCTTCCCAACGCCAGGACCAGGCATTCACGGTGGACGATGGCTTCTATGCCTGGATGTACGAGTGCCAGCAGCCCGTGTGGCGAACCACCCTCTCCTTCCTGTCACTCCTCAGTTTCCAGCTCATTGTTCCTCTCCTCAACTCAACTCTCTCTTCTCCTTGCTCTTCCATCTCTCCACTCTCCCTTCCCTTATCACCAGGATCAAGCATTCACGGTGGACGATGGCTTCTATGCCTGGATTTACGAGCGCCAGCAGCCCGTATGGCAGACCATCCTCTCCTTCCTGCTCCCGGTCTTCACAGTCGCCTGCTGCCTCTTCCCCGTCTTCCCCCACTGGTGCAAGCTCGCCGTGCTCTACTTCCTTCTAGGGCTCATCGCCCTCATCTTCCTGCTGCTGTTTGGTAAGTGAAACACTTAATGTGGGGTTAGGTTGTGGTTATAGGTTTTCACAGCTGGCAACTGGCTGCTGGGTGGTGCTTTTGGATTGTTTAGAGAGTTTCAGCTGGAGCCATTCCGCTGATTGCGAAGGCGTTCCCACCCTGCCCATTTCTTCTCACTGCAGTGCGGGTGGCAATGTTTGGAGCCATCTGGCTGGCTGTGGGCAAGCGCGTCTGGTTCTCCCCCAGCATCCTAAGAAGGCTGTTTATGGAACCAAATCGCTTCACACCCACCCATTCACATACTCCCCCTTCCCACCCTGCCCCTTCTCCCTCATTGCAGTCCGGGTGGCAATATTCGGAGTCATCTGGCTGGCTGTGGGCAAGCGCGTCTGGTTCTTCCCCAGCATCCTAGCAGAGGAGGGCTCGCTGGCAGAGCTCTTCCGCTTCTGGCCGGATAAGGACGATAAGCCGCCCGCAAAGATCACCACGCGCCTGGCGGTGGCTGTGATGCTGGGGTTCACCTTCTGGCTCATGGTCACATATGCTCCTGACCAAGAGCAACGGGCCAAGTAAGCACCTTCTTTATGTGTATGCAATTGGTTTCTTCTCCTCGCACTGTTGTTGCTCTTTTAGCTTTGCTGTGATGGTGGGGTTCACCTTCTGGCTCATGGTCACATACGCTCCTGACCAAGAGCAACGAGCCAAGTGAGTGTTGCTGTAGCCTTTTTTTTGTGTGCATGTGCTCTGTTCTTGCTTACACAGATATCTAGTCCAGATATCACTCGATGTCATGTGATGTTTTGTCATATTCCTCGGAGAGTGCATTTTTCTCGTCCATATGTTACCTTGTTTTACAATGTTTTCCTGTTTCAGGTACCAGAAGAAAGTGTCCAACATCATTGACGACGTCTTGCAATGGAAACCGCAGATGCTTGCAGGGAAGTCAACACCCGCCGCCCCCTCCAATGCCACGTCAGAAAATCAGACCTCTGCAAATGCCACTGCTGGCAATTCAACAACTCCCAATGCAAGTGCAGAGGCAGCTGATCCCAAGGCAGATAGCACCAGTGGTGCCAGTACTGGTAGCAGTGGCAGCTCTGATGCCGGCACTGGGAAGGAGGATGTATCAGAACAGGCTTCTGAGGGGGACCAAAGTGGGCAGGCTAACTCAGAAGGCAGTTCTTCAAGGAGGAGCGAGGCAGGTGCTTGACTTGGTTTAGGGTTTATTATTTTGTTAGACCAATTAGTATCAATTGTTGCTAGTAGTGATTTTAATATGTTCAGTTACGGTTGAATGACATCTCATTTCTCGAACTTTCTTTCTCGTTAACGGGTCGGAAAACTACTGGTGTTCGCGACGGGTGGGATGACAACCTCGCAGTCCTGGTTACGTCTCGTGCTCCTCGCAGTTCTTGTGTCGTAGACTTCGTTCATTTTGCCTAAGACTTTCGCACACCTTCCTTCCACCTCACACAAGGACCTGTCACCCCCGCCTCCTGTGCTCGCATTCTGCTGACACCATTGTTGAGATCAGCTGTGGCGCTATCTCTCCGCTTCACCTCACAGTAACTTCGCCGCCTTTCACCTCGTTCAGTCACCTCACTTCGGACCAGTCCGCGCCACGCGTATTCGTATTTGTCAGACACTATGTGAGTTAGCGTATTCCGTGAAGAGTGTTCCGTCGGTTATTCATACATAGTTGGTTCGCTCGAATCGTGTCTGACGATCGTGTGTGCCACGTGTAGGGCTGACGACGAGCCTGTGGATCCGAAGCCCGAGATTGAGGAGGGGTGCCGGCCGAAGTGTGTGAAGCAGCTTCTCGCGTACGAGGTGAGGCTTTCCTTACCCCCCAAAGCGTCGCTTCTTTAGTATGTCTGAAGCCGGTTGGTTCGCCTTTCGGTTGACCTACGATCGTGGACTTACAGGCATCTCGCAGCTTCTTTTAGCGTTCGGGCTTGTTGGTCTGTTGAACGTATCGGCTTAAAGGCTATGGTCTGACTCTGGTCTCTGATCTGCATTGCTTAGGCCTGTGTAAAGAGGATCGAAGGCGACGAGACTGGGGAGAAGCATTGCACTGGCCAGTACTTCGATTACTGGGCGTGCATTGATAAATGCGTGAGTTAGTCGTTTGCTTGCAAATGATCTGGAAGTATGGCTTGTCATTTGTCTTGCGTTCTGCAATCTAGTCCGCTGTGACCTGATCGAACCGTTTTTTTGTGCACTCTCTTACAACTTGTGCAGGCGGCTCCTAAAATCTTTGCCCAGCTGAAGTGATATCTCAACTACTGTATACCAGCAGTACACTTGGCTAACTTGGGAATGGTTTGTTGCTGGACTCAAGAGAGGCCTTGTCATTGATATAATTTCCTGTATATGCAGTGGATGATCGGCAGTCCTTGAACTATGGACATTTCTCTCACATCCGCTGAACGTACAGCAAGGATTTCAGAAGTCTGAAAATGTACCGTATTCTCCCGGACATAGCACCCTAGGGTATAGCTAAAAATACAGGGAAAAAATGGGGGGGGGGGGGTCTCCTCATAGGAAAAAAATACATAATACCCGGGTCTTTAAATATGGTATATTTTAGTGTTAGTGTTTATTTAATTAGACAATGTGGGTGTTTTGATTTTCATTTTGAACATCACTGTCTGAGGCGCGAATGTGGATTTCGGCCACGAGCTTCATCACCCCCACGAAAATGCCATGTGGCACCTCTCTTGCCACTTGCAGCGGAAGATTCGCCTGCACGTGGTCACAGCGAAGTAGTGCGAGGGGGGAAATCTCGGTAGATTGTAAGTGAATGTGTCGCGAAATTTCATCTAGGGAGAAATTTTCGCGATATTCTTCAATATTGCAGCTACTCGTTAACGACTATTATAGCGAATTCGTAAGAAAAGGGGGGTGTTATAGAAAATCAGCAAAAAAGGGGGTATAGTAGAAACGAGGCTCCCCATAACACCCACCCCGCACAAGCTACCCGGAGGTGTACAATTATGGGGGGGTGTTTTGTCCGGGAGTATACGGTATGGATGTCACAACCGTAGCTGACAACGTGTAAGAAACGAAAAAACTAACTGACGAGAAGTATAACTCCATGAAAAGGCGCACAGGAGAGAATACTGGAAAATGAAAGAAGGTTGGGCCTCAAACTAACCACCCAAACTTACAGTCGATCTGGTGTGTAGCGTAAGATTCGCCCAACAATCGGTGTTACCGAAACCCTCGAGAGCAGATCATTGCAAGACTCCACTCCACTCGTTGAGTAGCATCCATTTTTGTAGCTGGTGAAGCACAATTGTATGTATGGGTCTCAGTCGACCTGTCTTAGTCCCTTGTAGTGGAGCTGAGTCTGGCCTGAATTGGTGATACTCAGTGCGAATCGGTGCGACTTGGTGCGACTCGGTGCGACTTGGTGCGACTCGGTGCGAATCGTTCCGGGGGTCACCATGTCTAAGCGTGAGCTGCACCAGAAGTTATTCGAGGAGTTTGATTACAAGGAAAAGGCGGGATCTGCGTGGAGCCATAACTACTTGAATCAGAAGCCATGGCATCCGATGTCGTATCCCAACCAGCGTCGCAAGTGGATTGCGGAGCAGATGCACGGCGTGCAGGACAAGCGACTGACCGAAATAGAAAAAGAGGTACGCGTTATGAGATGTTACGTTACTGGTGCATTTGCTCATGGATCGCTGACGACAAGCGATTGATCGAAATCGAGAAAGAGGTTCTGTACAGAAAGGTGTACGCGTTATGAGACGCCTTGATACTCGGGTTGATGCGGGTAGACGCCGCACCGTGTTCCAAACACTGGGTAGGCATTGTCCTTTTAGGCATCCCAACTTGCACACCGTCTACTGCCGTCTGCTGTTTCCTTGTCTCCTTTTCCCACGTCTCTGAAAGGCACAGGCGATGCAGTCCGTGTCGTTCCTCTACTTGAAGGCTCCTGGGTACAACGCCGAGAGCCAAGAGCCGGGACTGCCTTGCCTCCCTGTTTCCCTTGCCTCCCTGTGTCCCAGGTTTGCCTCATCCACTCATGCCCCCTTTCCCTTGCCTCCCTGTTTCCCTTCACTTCCGGATTTCTGTGCCTCCCATTCCCTTCTCTTTCTCTCCCTGTTCCTTGACTCCCGATTGCAGTTCCAGAAGGAGCAGGAGTATTTCAAACAAACGGCGCTGCTCTCAAAGCAACAAAAAGCCAAAGCAGAGGCGATGCAGTCCGTGTCGTTCCTCTATATGAAGCCTCCCGGGTACAACGCTGAGAGCGCGCGGGCGGCAGAGCTCGCAGAGGAGGAGAGGGCGAAGCAGGAGAGGGAGGGGAAGGAGATGCTGGAAGGGGGAGGAGGGGGGGAAGGAGGCGGAGGGGAAGGTGGGGAAGGAGAGCGAGGAGGAGGGGAGGATGGGGGTATGGGTGCGGATGGGGCGTTGGTGGTGGCGGAGGCAGGGTGAGTCTTTGCTCTTTCATTCCCTTCTTTCTTTTCCTCTCAGCTCAGAATGAGCACAAAGCATCTCTGGGCCCAATGACAACTTCCCTGCCTTTTGTTCCAGTGTTTAACTATTAGCGGATTTACCTATATTGAAGCCGTGAGTCACGGATGTCTTACCCCTGCCCCATCCCTTGCACTCCCATGCACCACCCCCTACTCTGAAGCGCCTTGAATTTGCCTTTTAGGTCGCCTCCAAAACATTATTTGAGGCCGTCTGGAGGGCGTGTTACCCCCCCATCCCATGCAGCCCCCTCCCATTCCCGCTCTGGCAGATCTGAGCTGGCTGATAAGGACTAGTCGAAGAAGAAAAAGAAGCTCAGAGCCACGGAGGTCTCTCTCACTCCATCTCATGCAACCCCCTGTTCCATCCCCTAGCAGATCTGAGCCGGCTGATGCGGACAGGGATAAGGACCAGTCGAAGAAGAAAAAGAAGCTCAGAGCCACGGAGGTCTATCTCACTCCATCTCATGCAACCCCCTGTTCCATCCCCTAGCAGATCTGAGCTGGCTGATGCGGACAGGGATAAGGACCAGTCGAAGAAGAAAAAGAAGCCCAGAGCCACAGATGTGTTCGGCCGAGCCGTGCCAACTGGAGACGACTTTGAAGTGCTCAAGAACGCTCCCAGGTACGGAAAGGAGATTATTGAGACGCTTTCAATGCGTATATATATATATATAGAGAGAGAGAGAGAGAGAGAGAGAGAGAGAGAGAGAGAGAGAGAGAGAGAGAGAGAGAGAGAGAGAGAGAGAGAGAGAGAGAGGACTTTGCCTCTGTCCCTTGCCTCTGTCCCTTGCCCCTAAGCTATATAAGTGTCACGTGGGGGTCCCCTTTCCTCATTAGTTCATTCTGTTTTCAGTTTTTCGTAGGCGCTCGTGCCGGCGGCCTGCGGCCGCCAGCGCTCGCGTTGCGCGGCCTACGGCCGCGTGCTTAGGGGTGGCAAGGTTTAGCTGCAACACATTCATTAAGCGCACCCCACAAGACAGCGATGGGGCACGCGCCCCGCTACTAGATCAATAGATGCAAAGGGTTTACGTGCGGCGGGTGCCGAAAACTACATCAGATGGGCATCCAGCGCCGCGAGGATACCAGGCATGGTCCTCCACAGCTGCTGGACCACTAACGCGGTCGCGCCGACAATTTCAATCCCGCCACCAGCTTGGAGGTGTGCGGTCAGACCCTGGACCGTTGCGTCCAGTTCTGAAACCGCTACGCCTCCCATCGCGGGCGCTCCCAGCACGGGTAGGAGGAGGAAGGCAAGCTGCGCAGCCGCAGCCAGGCAATCAGCTCGCGCCTCACGACCGAGAGTGCTCCCTGGGCTCTGGAGAATGGCAAAATGCGAATTCACCAGAATCAGTGTCAGGGCCCGCTGACACTCCACCAGGCGCCACAGCTGCGCAAGTGTCGCCGTGGGAACTTCAGCCACTCCGGTCGCCAGTGCCACAGGCGGAACCGGAAGGGGGGGCGGAGGCTGCATGGACGGGGCATCAGCAAAGCGTCGCGGAGGGACGAAGGCCCCTCTCGCCCCTCCGCCTCCCGCTCCCACAAATCCCGTGTCCGGGAGCGGGGGAACCCAGGGCAGAGGTGGATAGGGCGCGGCAGAAACAGGATGCACGAAGGCAGGGGGAGCACGATCACCTCCAGGAGTGTGAACCTGCGGGAACGCCGAGGCGAGCGGTGCAGGAGCAGCAAGGGGCGCGGCCGGAGCCTGCACATTCACAAGCGCCGGTGCGGGCGCAGGAGCGGCAGGAGCCTGGGAGCTTGCAAGATTCGGTGCGCCATTCAGAGCATTGTGCATCGCCGCAGCTAGCATCCCCGGGAAATCCTCGCGCAACTGCTGCATCTCGCTCTGCCCACCGCGCCCGCGACCGTGACCTCCCCACCAGCCACCGCGGCCTCCGCGGTGCGCCGACCGATGCGACGACGAGGGGCGACGGCGAGGGGAACCTCGCCCCCGATGCGCTGCCGCATTGCCCCCCGCGGCACCGCGTATCTGTGACTCCGCGAGCCGCTGCGCAACGGGATGTGCCGGCGCAGCCGCAGGGGCCTCCAAGTGGGCAGAGTCGGGGTCGGCGCCCACCGCTGTCCCCGGCGCAGGGCCCCCAGCGACAGCATGGACGGGGGACGGCACCACAGGCGGCGGCTGCGCGACGAGAACAGGCGCGCTGGACGCGGGAAGAGCGTGCGGAAGGTTCGGCTTGGGAGCCGTCGACAGCGGGACCGGAACTGAGGATGGCGCAGCAGCAGCAGGAGGGGCCCGAGTGGCTAGAGGAGCGGCAGCCACGGCAGCAACGCCAGCAGGGGGCGGAGGCGGAGCATTCGCGCTCTCAGCGGTGTGACCTTGGTCCACCGCTGACCTCTCCGCTTCAGTCGCCATCGAGGCTTACGCGTCGGCAGCAGGCGATCGAGGACGCACGTTCGCGCCCGCACATAGGAGGAGTTAGTCGAGGGAGTCCAATGCTGGCCGCAGCCAGTGCGCGTACGCACGGTGGCCGTGCTGGAGGTGGAGGGCGTGGGAGGAGTACGCGTGAGGGTGGTCCGGAGAACGCGTTCCAGATGGCAGCGAGAAGGGCTTTAACAGAGTTATTAAGAACTAATGAAGCTGATGCTTTGTCGGGGAGTATTTATGAGGCGGAGGAGGAGGAAGCAGACTCAGGTTCGAATGCCTCGGAGGAGGCCCAGTCCCAAGTCCCTGCTCGGCAGAGAGGCAACTCAGCCCATGCCCGAAGAGCGGCAACAAATTTCAATCGCACCCCCACCCAGGCACAGCCATCCCCACAGTTTCGAACCGCAACCAACAACCCTGACACCACTGCCAACCAACCCGCCCAACGAAACCTGCCACCACCTCCTTCAATTGCACCGCGAACTGCAGCGAGGGGTAACCATCGGCAGGCACAACCCCCTCCCCAAAAATCGCCCGAAGCCCTCGCCAAGGATGATACGCTCTTCGCAAGCGTCAGTAACTGGAATCTGGATAAGCTGCGCGATAGTCGCAACTCACCGGTGGCACGTCGCCTTCCGGAAAAGCTGCGCCTGCTTTTCGCAATGGTTTTACTGACTCCACTGCTGCGTCTTGCCGACAACCCTGATTCCACCCAAGCCTGGACGGTTTTGCTATTTGCCGCTCGCCTGACACTGCGTCAGCAGTCGCCGAAGCATCCTGATTGGAAGGCGACCAGAAGTAGGTTGCGTAAATTCCTGCGAGGGGAGTGGGAATCACTTTACCAGGAAACAGTGGATTCGCTGGAGTTACCCCCCCCCCCAGGCACCAACCTGACGACCTGGGAGTTATCTCCAGGGCAGAGGGTCTGGCCCGACGTGGCAGTCTGCGGAGGGCTGTCATGGCACTCGAAGCCACTCCGGTCAGCAGGCCGACCCCAGAAGTTCTGGAATCCCTACGCGCCAAGCACCCACGCGCCCGGCACCCTGACACACCGTGGCCCCAGCCAGAGCCAGACACTTACCTGGCAGTATCGCAAGAAGCATTCCTGAAACTTCTCTCGAAATGTGAGAACGGGGTTGGCGCAGGCCCCTCAGGTACGACGTTCGAGCACCTGTGCGAAGCTGCCCTGATACACTCTGCGGTCAGCTCACACTTACATGCGCTTGTCAACACGATCCTTCGCGGGAAGCTGCGCAATGAAGTTGGGGAGCTTCTTACCGCATCACGGCTGATAGCCCTCGACAAGCCCGACGGAGGGACCAGGCCAATAGCTATAGGTGAATGCATCCTCCGGCTGGCAGCCAAGGCAGCACTTACTCAGCTAGCAGAAGCGGCCAGAGAATTCTTCCTACCATTACAGTTTGGAGTGGCCGTGCCGGGTGGAGCAGAAGCTGTGATCCACATAGTCCGAACCTTCACTTCTGCAAATCAAGAGGCGCTAGTCTTGCAGGCAGACCTAGCTAACGCTTTCAACAGCGTTGATCGCCTCGCCATAGCGACGGCGCTGAAAGGCTCGCAGCTGGAGCCGCTACTACCCTTGGTGCACTTCTCCTACGGCCAGCCGTCCGCACTGCACCTAGATGCAGCTTTTAGCCACGCGCCTTTGCTCAGCGAGACCGGGGTCCGCCAAGGGGACCCACTCGGCCCCCTTCTTTTTGCCGCGGCCATGCAACCAGCTCTGAAGGCTGCGGCGGAGGCCAATCCGGATGTCATATGCCTGGCTTACGCGGATGACGTGACCTTCTTAGGGGACCCGTCGTCATGCGCGGCTGCTTTTGAGCACTTCACGAGCCTTCTTGCTGAAATCGGGCTCAAACACAACCCCGCCAAGTGCGGGGCATGGTCCAATAGGTCGCCCGTGGATTTCCCCCTGCCCGAGGGAGTTCCACTCAGCAGCGACGGTTTGAAAGTGCTGGGAAGTTACATCGGCTCCCCAAGGGCTACCTCCGCCTTCGTACGGTCCAGCCTGGAGGCAATGGGCGCACCGCTAGGATTGATCGAGCGGATGGAACCGCAGCTGGCGGGACTGCTGCTGTCTCGGTGCGTCTCGCGCCGTGTGTCCTTCCTGGCCCGCACGACTCCCCTCCCATCCCTGCCCAAGGAGGAGTGGTCCGAATGGGGGAGGCGGCTGCTGGAAACTCTGCTCACAGCATGTGGCATCAATCACCCGCGGGGGACCGAGGAAACAGCACGCACATGGGCGCAAGCCTCGCTCCCCGTATCGCTCGGTGGCCTGGGGCTGACGGATCCGTCCGTGGAGGGAAGCTACAGCTTCCTCGCCAGCTACACGCAGGCGCATCTCCTCCTTGACTCCCTCGATGGCGACTGCACTGGCCCACTTGAGGCCACCCGCGAGCAGATGCGCGGCCCCTACACTCAGTCATCCCCCCTGACCGAGTGGCTAGCGGAATGCGAGGGGGAGCTTCCACTGCCGGCCCAGGAAGCTTTGCAAGCGGAGAGAGCAGCCCCAACCGCAGGAAAGCTGCAGCACGGGCTAGCCACTGCCATCCAGGGACAGCGCTACGCGGTCCAGGTGGAGGAGGTGCGGGGGATGAGGCCGAATCCAAATAACGGTCATACGCAGCGGCTGTTGTCCCTGTCAGGGTACGGGGCGGGAGATTGGTTAAACGCGGTGCCTCTGCACCGCTCGCTGCACCTCGAGGCTCCACATTTTGCCAACGCGCTCCAGTTTCGACTGGGGCTCCCCTTTGCAGCTCCCGGAGTTTGCAACTGCACAAAGAAGGTGGTGATTCCGGATAAGAGGCTCCCGAACCACCTGCTACGATGCGGCACAGGGGGGGGGCGCACAAACACGCACAATGAGCTTAGGAACGAATGCGCACGAATGGCGCGTGATGCTGGCTTCATGGTGCACATCGAGACAGCCGCCTTCAGCCCAGTGGAAGAGAAGAAGGCGGATCTGGCCCTCCGCTGCCGCTCAACAGGAGCCGTCTACATCTGTGATGTGACGGTGACGGACCCCATCAGCACCCGAGATGAGAATGCAACTAAGGGGCGGGGGTGGGCGGCACGGGAAGCAGTTGATAAGAAGCACGGCCTCTACAAGGACCGCCCCGAGTGGGTGAAGTTCTTCCCGCTCGCGGTCGAGACCTATGGGTGCCCATGCCCTGAGACAGTAGATTTCCTGAAGCTGCTCGCGGAAACGGCTGCAAGGCGGTTTTTTAACGCCGAGCCGACCTCCTACCAAGCTGCCAAGCTCCTACACCATTTTCGGCAGCGGTGGTCGGTGGCTCTTCAAAGGGGGTAGTCGATTGGATATCTAGAGAAGTGCAGCATAGCGGCTGCAGTAGAGAACCCGCTGCTAGAGGCAGTGGGTGAGGCCCCGTCCCTAGGGGACTGCCTCTCGGTCCTTGATCCTGAATGGATTTAGTTTAGAAGCAGGGGGGAAAGTGATGGGTGAGTAGCAGAGTCTTTATGCATCAGACCCACGTATGGATAACTAACACCTTGCATGCCTGTATGTCTTGTATCAACCAATGAAAGGGCCATTCGAGAGAGAGAGAGAGAGAGAGAGAGAGAGAGAGAGAGAGAGAGAGAGAGAGAGAGAGAGGTGTGTGTGTGTGTGTGTGCTTTTTATATATATCCGTATACATGTATGTATATATGTAATTTTAGGCCTTATAAGAGTGCTTACAGGAGTCAAGTTTGAAATACTCAAGAGTGCTTCCTCTTGTGCTCGTCCTTCCATCTGGAGGGGTGTCATCACTTGTCCGTTTCCCGTCTCCCTTCCACTCCCACACTGCTCAGGATGGACACAGAAATTATAGGCCGGCAATTCCCCTTTGGGCTCGAGTAGAGGAATGTCAAGTGCGGGCGGTGTGGGGGGTGTGTGGGTGTGCCATCACATGTTCGTCCCCCCTCTCCCTTCCACTCACACACTCACCAGGATGGACACAGGAATCATAGGCCGGCCGCGCCCCTTTGGGCTTGAGCTGAGGAACGTCAAGTGTGGGCGGTGTGGGGGGATAGGGCACAGCAGCGGCGAGAGGGAGTGTCCTCTGTTTGACTCCGTGACTGAAAACGACCTCAAGCGCCAGCAGCGGGAGGACCCACTCTCTCACATACTCGCCCTCAACCGCCCCCAGGTATTTTCCTTTCTTGACACCCATTTTTCTCCCCATTCTCCCCGTCCTATGGTGATTCTTTGCTTGTGAAAGGGACTTTTAGAAGCAGGCAAGTGGTGGTGTGTGCGGGGGGGTAGAGGTCACAGCAGTAGCAGGAGGGAGAGAGGGAGTGTCCTCTGTTTGACTCCGTGACTGAAAACGACCTCAAGCGCCAGCAGCGGGAGGACCCTCTTTCCCACATCCTTGCCCTCAACCGCCCCCAGGTATGCCCCTTGCTGTCCCTTCTTTTCCCTATTCTTCCCATTCTTCCCAAGCATTTCCCTTATACACACTCCTCCCCTCCCCCCCTTTCCTTTCCTCTTCCGCTTCCCTGTGTTCCTCAGCCGTTTGGTTGGCAGCTCAAGGAGCAAGGGGCAAGAGGGATGATCTAGTCAAGCCAGTACACCATGCTCCCTTCTCCAAACCATTCCATTCAAACCCCTCTTTCTGACCCTTTTTTGCTAACTTTCCTCAGCCCTTTGGATGGCAGCTGAAGGAGCAAGGGGCAGGCGGCATGAGCCCCGTCCGGGGCGGCTTCAAGCCGAACGACGCCAACCAGCAGATCCTGCCGCCCAGCGACGACGAGAACGAGGGCGTGTTCGACCAGTACGGGGGGTTTCTTTTAGGAGGAGAGGCGGATGTAGCAGCATTGGCCACAGGTGATGCTGCTGGGGGGGGGATCGGAGGGGTGGGAGGGGTGGGAGGTATTGGAGGGGGAGGGGTGCTTATGCCTGGTCTTGGCTCTTCTGTGTTAGACTCGCTTACGAAGAAGCAGCGTAAGGAGTTGAGCAGGGCTTTAAGGATGAAGGAAAAGGAGGAGCGGAAGAAACGGAGAAAGAGGAAGGAGAAGAGAGCTGGTGGGGAGGGTAAGAGTAAGAGGAGGAAGAAGGAGAAGAAGAAGGGACGTGGGAAGCGGAGGAGCCGACACGACCGAAGAGAATCAGATTCTGATTCGTCGTCTGATACATCGGATTCTTCAGAATCGGAATCAGATTCTGAGTCGAGCTCAGAGGGTGAGGAAGCTTGTAGCTCTGGTGACAGCAGTGGGAGTGAGAGCAGTGGAAGTGACAGCAGTCGCAGGATCAAGAGGAAACAGAAACGAGGAGCAAAGAGAAAGAGGTCGCACGAGAGGAAGGGGAGAGAGAAGGAAAAGCAGAGGAGCCGTGAGGAGGAAGGCCCAGGGCTTAAGGAGAAGAAGGAAGGAGCTAGCAAGAGTAGGGTAGAGAGCAGTATAGGGAGCAGAGAGGTCAAGATTGGTGCTGCGGATGCTGGTGAGCGTCATAGTTCGAGAGAAGAGGAGAACGAAGATGGAGAGGAGAAGGGGGAAAGAGGGAGCAGGCACAGGCTAGAGGGGGAGGAGGTAAAGGGGGGTGCTGGTGGAAATGGTGGTGAGGGTGGTGGAACGAGGTGGGAAGATGAGGTTGGGGAGGAGCGAGGAGGAAGAGAAGGGATGGATGGTTACAGGGAAGGGAAATTGGGACAGGAGGGTAAGGATGGGAAAGAGGAGAAGATCAAGAAACAAGGGGGAGGGGAAAAGAAGAGAGTAGAGGGTTGGTCGAGAAAAGAGGAAGAGAGGGGAGTGGAAGGGAAGAGGGAACATTGTGGGGGAAGAAGAGAGGAGAGGGGTTGGAGAGTGGAGAGGGATGAGAGGGAAAGAGATAGGCGGAGAGAGGGTGACAGGGATTATGGTAGAGGGCGCAGGGACAGGTAGGAGCAGGAAAGGAGGAGAGAGCGAGGTGATGTGAGGGAGGGGCGGGACAGAAGTTAAGGTAGGAGGTGGTGATAAAGATCTGCTATGACTATCTTGTGTCAGGGATTGGTAGGCTGGGAGATGTGTAAAGCACTTTTTTTCATGTCGTCTCTTGATTCCATATCCTGCGCTTCCCAACTTCTTTGGTTGAGTAGTTGATGTCAAGGTGTAAGGAAAATCATTTTTTCTTACCGCGTCCCTGCTCAGCGCGTACACCACTGTTCCCGCCAACAGCACCCCACAATATCCCGTTACCACTCGCGACATTCGCCTCGACATCATTCCCGCCACTGTTCACGATGTGACCCAACCTCACGGTTCGGTTGGTAACCCGCGCTCTGGACCTCCGCCTCGACAGTCCCCAACCTCGACACCAGGCCCGTTGCGCACCCCAATTTCACACGTTACCGTTACCACCGTAGCTTCGCTATATATTTTTCGCTCAATCCTTTCGCTCATTGTATTGTTGCCTCGATAGTGCAATCCTCGCTCGCTCACTCAATTGCACTCGTAACACAAGGTATATGAAATAATGTAAACCATTTTGCTGTTATATGAAAGCAGCAGGGACTTGGAAACGGTGTTGATGTTGTTGATGAACCATTTCGCTGAGGTATCCTTCGCTGTCTCAGCTACGGCAGCTTGGCCGATGTTTTCCTCAGTGGTGAATCTGTCTGCCTTGTTTGCGCTGCACCGTCGATTCTCCAAAGTATGGACGGATTGAGGAAATCTCGTTTGTCCCCAGCTTTCGATCCCATCACTCCAAAATTGGACCAATCAGTATTCTCCAACCCAGCTGGAAATGGACCTCCATCAGTGATCTTCATTTCCATTCCAGCCTGGCTGCCCGTCATCGCCGTCCTGCTGTGTTGGGGCCATCAATAGTTCTTCTGGGCATCTGGTTACAGAATACTGTACAGTGGCTGGAGAAGTTCGGCTTCCTGCCCGCCCGCCCACGATACCTCGAGCATTGTTCATGCCTTGAAATATCCAACGGCATCCTTGGTCTTCGGTTCCGTCAGTACAGAAACCTCGGTATTCAGGAATTTCTCTCGTTATCTAGGGATCTGTCTCGGTACAGGGCATGAATCAATTACACACATGGAAGTCTGCTGAAGTACCTAGGTTGTGAAACCTTCCCCACAGGTCTTGCTTCCCAAACCTGAGCTCTCCACTCTCATCGACACTAGGGATAGCCAATCATTTCTTGCAACTCCATGTCATTTCACCATTTATTCTTTTTGCGTCTCGTTATTCCTTAGTTAGCGCGTCGCATTTCTTATGCTGCAGCACACGTAGGTTGGCTTCGAGGTTCGCAAGCATGGGTTGTCCTTAGCCGCATTTTTAGGGTTTCAGCCATGTGCTGTGGCTTTCCTATCGACGCCTCGTCATTCTCTTATTCAACCATGAATTTCCACGCAAGTGACTCGAGATCTACTCCTACTATTTACGAAGATGAGGATTTAAGCTTGCTCGAGTTAGCCGCTAGCAATGACATAGACAGTTTCAAACGAAGCGTCGATATTTTACAGAAGCCATTGACCGAATGCGAGTCATGGTACTGTCGCCAGAATGGCTCCACCAGAATGGCTCTTGCACAGCGAACTCCAGCCATGATTGCTTGCCTATTCGGCAGCCTAGATATTTTATCATATATTTTTATTGAAGCACGTAGCCGCGGTGTAGAGTGCAACATTAACCAGGCGAGTCCTTCTGATGGCAGCACAGCGCTTCACTGTGCAGCGTTGGGTGGAAGCCCCAGAGCAGTGGAGGTGGTTTCGTTTCTTCTCCGTCACGGAGCCGAAAAAGATGCCGTCGACCGTGACGGAAAACGTCCAGTTGACGTCATTGCAGTCTCCCCGAAGCTTCCTCACGTCAAATCCGCCCTGGAGCGGCTTCTCAAATCCTCCTCGTCCGCCGGTCCCGACGTGATCTACCACCGTCCGTCTCCGTTCATCATCGTCCAATCAGCGGCGTCCTCGTCTCCACCGTTCGAATCTCCGTCATCGCCAAACTCCCACTCCGCGTCGCCCAACATGCTCTCTCCCGCAACCTCGAGCAGCAGTGACCTCTCTTCTAACTCCACCGGACTCGACGTGCTTGCGCCGACCACTCCATCCACTGGCGCCGGTGTAGTCGACTCATCCATGGCGGATATGAAAAGCAGCGTGTACGCGTCGGACGAGTTTCGGATCTACAGCTTCAAGGTGCGGCCGTGCTCGCGCGCGTACAGCCACGACTGGACGGAGTGCCCGTTCGTGCATCCGGGGGAGAACGCCCGCCGGCGCGATCCGCGCAAGTTTCATTACAGCTGCGTGCCGTGCCCAGATTTCCGCAAGGGATCGTGCAGGAGGGGGGACTCGTGCGAGTACGCGCACGGCGTGTTCGAGTGCTGGTTGCACCCCGCGCAGTACCGAACCAGGTAAGGCTTCCAGCCTATGTAAATGCATCAAGCGAGTCAATATTTCCCAACCAGGTATCGCTATATTTGAGGCTCCTTGATCTTTAGCTGCCTCCTTCCTCTGGCATTTTCCTTTGAAGAGTTAGCGAGAACGCTTGGGCCGTATGCTCTCGCTGACTTCCTGTTCGTCCCTGCTCCCGTGCTGCTCCGTTGCCGTCGCTCGGTGTGCTGTCTCTGCACAACATGCCGAAACCTACCTGAACCGTCTTCTGTTCTCTTCCTTCGTCTCTTCCATTGCGGTCGTTCCGTCGCTCGTCACGCCCTTCGTTCGCCCCGTCCTTCGCCTTATCTCATGACGCCCTCCCCCCATTCTCTTCCAAATCCTTGCTGCCGATTTTCCAACTTAGACCTCCCCTGCCAAATCTCTCTCTTCCTTTCGTCCCCGCGCCAGGCTTTGCAAGGACGGCACCAGCTGCTCCCGCCGCGTCTGCTTCTTCGCGCACACGTCCGAGGAGCTCCGCCCCCTGCAGAGCCCCGCCGCGGGCACCCCCGCCAATATGTTAGCGCACTCTCCCGCGGACATGCGCGCAGTCACCGCCTCCGCCGACCTCCCCCCGCCTTCCCCCTCCTCCGTCCGCATGATGTCGCAGTTTGCGCCGCATAGCGCAACCAGCTCTTCCCCCACTGCCCCCAACTCCCCATCCATTGCCACGTTTTCCGCGTCCGGGAAGTGCATGCCCGGGGGAGGTCAGTCCGCGGGCGGGGGTGGACACGGGGGAACTGCGCCGCTGAGCCTGTCGTCGGGGGTAAACCTGATGCGCCTTCGCGCGGCCCTGAATGCGCGCGAGCTGACCATTCCGGAGGAGACTGAAGAGGCGCTAGAGGCTCTGGAAGCTTCCTTGCTGCAGGAGCAGCAGCAGCAACAGCAACAACAGGGGCAACAACAACAACAGCAAGGGCAGCTTCAGCAGCAGAACTCGCCACTTTCTCGACCAACTCTGCAGCAACGGCAGCAACAGCAACAGCAGCAGCAGCAACAGCAACAACAGCGCTGGCAGCAGCAGCAGCAGCAGGAGCAGCCAAGATACTGGAACCAGCAGCTGCAGCAACACCAGCAGCTGCAGCACCACTCCCCACCGCAGCACATCCTCCAGGACCACATGGAATCCATCACACGTGCCGACCTCGGCGCAGCGCGAGTCACCGGCGACCTCGGCGAACTCTCCCTCACCCGCCAGGGTAGATCCCCGGGCGTGCCTTTCCACCAGCTCCAGGACGCGCCGTCCCGTTATGTGTCGACTCAGAACTCGCTCGGAAACGACTTGTCCCTCGGCCGAAACCCGGGGAGGAGCCCGGGCGTGAGTTATCAGCTTCAAGACGCGCCCTCCCCTGGCCCTGGTAGGGGCGCCCAGCAGCTTTATAGCCCCTTACGCCCGGACGTTCTCAGTGGGGATATGGGCGGCGTGGGCGGGGGAGTTGCGGGTATGGGCAGTGGCGGAATGGGGATGGGGAGCGCGGGTATGGGGATGGGGGGTGGTGGCATGGGCATGGCAAATGTAGGTGCAGGGGGGCAAATGGGCGCGAACAGTGTTCCGTCCAGTCCTGGACGATTAGGCATGACATTATCAGGGGAAGGCTCGCGTCTTGGGCCTGTAAGCGGCTCCTCAAGCCCCTCGCTCCCTGCCCCTAGAACTTATGGGGGTGCTGGTAGTGATGCTGCGCCTAGGAGCTATGGGGGTGTTGGTAGTGATGGTGGCATGGGGGGTGCAGATGGAGGGATGTTTGGTGCTCTACCCTCTCCGAGCCAGTCTCCTAGGTATGGTGCTGCCGGGCCTTCTGGCATGTTCCGAGGCGGGTCGGTAGGACAGGCAGAGCAGATGATTATGCAGCTGCAGCAACAGCAGCAGCAGCAGCAGCAACAACAGCAGCAGCAGCAACAGCAGCAGCAGCAACAGTTCAGGAATGAAAGCGAACGGGCATATGCGCTCTCGTCCTCTCCCCAACCCCAGCCAGGTCTCGAAACATCGTATTTAGGGCATTTGGAGGGCCGTGGATTCACACCCATGTCACCGTCACAGGCCGTGGTGTCTCAGTTTCGCATGAACAGTGGTCTTCGCCAGCAGCAGCAGCAACAGCAGCAACAGCTACAGCAGCAGCAGCAGCAACAGCCCACCCAATACCAGCAGCAACAACAGCAGCAGCAGCAGCAGCCCCACTATCAGTCAGATAATCCCCTCTCCAGTGCTCCTGCTAGCACACCCCCCAACCACTCTATGTGGGCGTCACCCTCTGGTCTCCCCACGTGGCAGTCAGTCCACTCTGTACCCACCTATGAACCCCGCTTGCTGCCACCCCAGGGAGAAATGCCCTCCCAGCAGGGAGCTGGTCTTTCTAAAGGAGCAGGGGGTCAGCTTATAACGGGGATAGGGAGGGAGGAGGTACAGGAGACGGATGTGGGGTGGGTGGGAAGCCTGGTTCGAGATGGAGGGAGTGGTGCTGGGTTTTGAGACGCCTAAATGCAGGGCGGTTGGGGTATTTAGTAAGGTGTGACAGTGGTGCTGCTAAGTTTTGGGAAATCTTGAATCGGGGAGGGAGGAGAGGAGATGCAGAAGACAGATGTGAAGTGGGTGGGGAGTCTGGTGGGGGATGGGGCCGCCGGGGGGTGGAGCCGCTGCTACTGGGTTTTGAGGAGTTTCAGAACAGCGATTCGCATTTGTTGGCATGGGTTGGAAGGGGTTGGCAGGGGTCAAATTGGACGCTTGGTTAGAGGGTTTTGGCGGGGAGTCGTGATTTTGAGAAGCAGGTATAGGAAGGGATGGGACAGTGGGGTGGTAAGGGTTGTATTAATCCATAATCATCTGACTGTTATGATATCGATACAGCTTGTCTCTTTTTGCGCAGGCGGGAATAGGGTGCCATCACAAGCCTGCCTGCTTACCATCTGGTCTATTATTGCACGCCAACAGTAACATTCCAATGCTGCTGGCCTATTGATTTATCTGTTGCTAGTGTGGGACTGGTTCCATTCTTTATTCCTTGTTATCTTGGATTGCAAGTTACTTTGTTGTTTTAAAACCGTTTCAGTTTGTGTTGTATTGATTAACCGAGACGAAGTGTAGGAATGTATGGCACTAATCCGCTGAGCTGTTCGCATCAGCTACAATGGAGTTGCATGCTGCTTCCACATGGGTGGCACTTCTGAACAGGAAAATCAGCCTTGCAGTTGCCGCACCACAGTCCAAGTCTATGTTGAACTAAGAGGAGAGGAATGATCGACTAGGTCAAAGGGTGGGGTACAAGAGAGAATTGATGTACCCCCTAACATGCAAATCACTATAGGCTAGGTAACTAAAGTGATTATAACTATGACACACCCCCATAGCCTACGTGAGGTGCATGAAAAACGACCAAGGCAAGCAAATGGTCACAAGTCCAGTCAAGAGAAGCGAACAAAGCAAAGCCCAGGGTGGATCTCAAGATCACCACGCAGTCTGAGCACGAACAAGCGACCACAAGGCCAGTTCACATGCAGAGTTATAAAAGCACGAACAGTACTGTGATCACAATTTACGGTAGCAAGAGCAAGCATGCAGGTATATATATAGAGATCACAGTACAATGCAAAGTCAAGCAACCAGCAGGTGAGGCAGAACGGGCAGAAGCCCAAGAGCAGTGCAAAAACGCTGATGATCACCAGACCCGAGGGCCTTGGTGAAGACATCAGCAGTGTTGGCCCGAGAGGCCACGTAGGAAAGGTGAAGCTGACCACGCTGCTGCAGCTCTCGAGCAAGAAAGTAGCGAAGAGCAATGTGCTTCGTTCAGTGGTCCTGTCTCTGCTCGTGACACAAAGCCAGCATGACCTTGTTATCGACGTACAGAACTGGAGGAGAACGAGGCCGCCCCCCCACGCCGGTCAGCAGATAGGTGAGTCAGCGTAGCTTCTGTGCAGCCATAGCCCCAGCTTAGATCTCAGCATCACAACTAGAACCAAGCACATAAGAAGAACGAGTGGACATCCACGAGACAGAGCCACAGCCAAGACTGAAAGTATAACCCTGTGACGAACGCTAAGTCGCCTGATCGTCGGCCCAAGAAGCGTCGGAGTGTCCTATGAGTACCACTGAACCATGTCCTCCAAGCACGAGCCACATGCCCGATGTACTGCACAAGTAATGCAGTACCCTCTTCGCAGCTTCCCAGTGCACCTTTCGATGTCTACCGGGAGCCACGTAGCGAGCCAGGAGGCTCAAAGGGTACACGAGGTCAGGTCATATGCACGTCATCAGGTACATGAGGCAACCCACAAGCTCTAGATACGAACCACTTGGCTCTACGAACTCGTCCGAAGGTGGAGCTGAGAGCGAGTGGCCAGTAGGCAGAGGAGTGGGCTGTGGCGAGGATTATTGAAAGACCTGGTGCACCATGTGTGACTGAGTCGGGGTGATGGTGCATCGTGCTTTGTCTCGGGTGATCTGCAAGCCAAGATAGCTCCGCAGCTCACCCAGGTCAGTGTAAGTGTGTCTCTCATGCAGCTCCGCCTTCACTAGGGCCACCACCTCAGTGTCAGCAGTAGCAAAAACCAAGTCGTCGATGTACACGAGAACGTAGAACGGCGGCAGAGTAGTGTCAGTGCGTGGAAACAGCGACGGGTCAGCAGAGGAAGGAGCAAACCCAAGAGCCGTAAGTGTCGTCCTCAGTGTGTCGTGCCACTCGCGGGGCGCATGGCGAAGACCGTAGACTGGCCGCCGGAGGCTCCACTGGGTACCTGCAGGAAACGACCCAGTGAAGCCAGGTGGGCGGCGCAGCCAGATCTCCTCGTGAAGGCTGCCCTACAAGAAAGTTGTGGAGAAGTCGAGGGAGTGCAGCTCGTAGTCACGCAGTGCTGCAACGTGCAGCAACACCCAAAGAGTAATCATCTTCGGAGTGGGGGAGAAGGTCTGGAAGTAGTCGACCCCCCTGTCGCTGACTGAAGCCTCGAGCAGCATAAAGTGCCTTGAAGGCAGGCGGAGAACTCGGCGGCCGCTTCACTCTGAAAATCCACATGCCATCGACTATGTTCGCCCCAGGAGGAGGAACCTCGTTGACGTAGGTGCATGTAGACTTCCAGGAAGCCATCTCTGCGTCCATAGCTGTCTGCCACTGAGAGGAGTACTCAGCCGCGATCGCCTTAGCGTAAGAGTGCGGGGTAGGGATGTCAAGTGCATCCGGGTCTTTCTCAGGGCAAAGTATCATGGATGCGAAACGAGGAAAAGCGGCCGCGAGAAACTCAAACTCAAACTGCCCGTCCTCAAGGACGTCACTGCCAAGGGCAGGCTCACCCTCGACGGACGGAGGACAGACAGACTCAGACTCAGTAACAAGACTCGCGACGTAGTCGAGACGACTTCTAGCAGCAAAGTCGACGAGCTCAGTGACTAGGGCAAACGCAGCACTCCCAGCATCTCCGAGACCAGCAGCTCGAGGAGCGGTAAAACTCCAAGCTCCAGCACCAGAGCGGCCTCACCGAACGACCCACTCACGAAGCTGCTGCGGTGAGGGCTTCTCGAGTCGACTAGGCGACTGCTGCTGTCCAATGCCAGGACATGCACTAGGAGCACCCACGACCCCAACACCACTAGGACTCGCAGCATCCCCAGAGTCAGCACCCCCAGAACCCTCACCCCCAGTCTTAGCACCCCCAGTCTCAGCACCCCTAGGACCAGCACCTCCTGCGTCCTCACCTCCAGTGTCACCACCCCTAGTAGCACCAGTGTCCACAGCTACAGGCTGAAGAGGCAGTGAAGACGGTCGAGGCGGAAAACCAGGAGGGGTCTCCAAGCGTGGAGAGTGACGAGTGGTCGCTGTGTCGTCAGCAGCGGGGTCACCCTTTTCAGCTAGGCCAGAGGTGTCAGAGGAGATCACCAAAGACTCAACCAAGGGGGGTGGGTTTACCGGAGAGACGCCTGAGGGAGCAAGAACCTGTGGGGGAAGGGGGTCTACTGGGGGGGCAACTGGTACCAGGAAGAGAGGCACCAGGGGGACCGGGTGGGACGCGGGTGGAGCCTGTAGAAACAGACCGACTTGTCAAAGGTGACGTCCTAGGAGGAGAAGCCGCAACGCAGGCGAGGGTAGTAAAACTGCCACGGCGGGGTGTCAGTGGGGAATCCCAGGAAGGCACAGTGGAGAGTGCGAGGAGAGAGCTTGCTCGCGGTGGTATCGCGAACAAGGGAGAGCGCGCCCCAGACCCGAAACACCGACGCATCGCCAAACTTTCCCGTTCAACGGAGTGTGGGGGAGGTCTCTGGCAGAGAGACATGGGGCTAGAGGTTGAGCTGATGCGCGGCGTATCGGACCGCAAACGGCCACAAAAAATGGGGAGCAGCCGCATGGATCATGGAGGTATGAGCAACCTCCATGATCAAGCCAATGCGACGCTCAGCAATCCCATTCTGTTGCAGAGAGGCCGGAGCGTGAACGACTGGATGATGCCCTCGTCTCGACAGAACTCTACAAGGAGGCCGGAAGAGAACTCACCGCCCCTGTCAGAGTGCAGACGCAGGACCGCAAGGTCCCGGCGAAACGGCTCGCGCAGGTGGCGACGAGTAGCGCGGATCCAGGGGATCAAAACACCGCGGACGTCCGCCTTGCTGCGCAAGGGGAAGACCGTGGTGTAGTGCGTGTAGTCATCAACGACCAGCAGGAAGTAGCGCTCCTGGTCCGTCCCACAGACGGGGGCCGGGCCCCACACGTCCACGTGGAGAGTCTGCAGATGAGAAGTGGTCGGAGGAAATGAGGAGTGAGGAGCGGCGCGTTGCCGCCCCTCGACGCAAGGAAGGCACGGCGGGGCAGGCGAGTGCGGGAGGGGGTGCAGGGACCTGGGAAGGCCAGAGACAAGGAGACGGGAGTGCATGCTGCGAAGACGCGGCAGAGAGGGGTGACCAAGTCGGTGCTGCCAGAGAAGAGTCTGGTGGGAGAGTACCCGACACGAGCACGACGCAGCGAACTGACCAGACGCAGCCACCTGATCTGACGCAGCCACCTGTGCAGACGCAGTGGTCAGGGTGTACAGACTGGACCCAGGCTGCCGAGTGAACGTAGCAAGGTGACGTCCAGTCCGGAAGCATGTAGAGATCGCCACACGCTGCCCTCCAGGGATAAAGGTATCAACCCAAACATCCTGAAGAACTGCGTTGCTCACCAAGTTCGTCGAGAACGAGGGGAGGTGGAGGCTTGAAAGAGAGCCGGAGGGGACTGCCGAACACGGGAGGACAGTGGAGGCTCGTGCAACGACGGGGCCCCTAGAGGGGTCAGCCAGTGAGACTGGGACCGGTGCAGCGAGTGGTGTGACTGTGGTGCAATCACAAAAGAAGCAACGAGACGCACCAGAGTGAAGTGTGAAAGTGTGCAGGGCCTCAGCTGAGGCTGAACGATCCACTCACGAATCTGCTGTGGCGAGAGAGTGTCCGGGTGCGCAGGCTGCCGCTGCTGTCTAGCACCTCCAGCACGATAACCTCCACCACCAGGACGGCCTCGCTGAATAACCCACTCGCGAAGCTGCTGCGGTGATAGAGTGTCCGGGTGAGGCAATCGCTGCTGTTGTCCACCCCTAGACGCTGCTATGACCGTGATAGTGGCCATGACAGGCAGGGGCAGTCAGTAGCAGCGGCGCAAGGGCGGTAGTAGCGACTGTTGTAGCTGCAGCTGTAGCTGTAGCGGTGGTCGCTGTGGCTGTAACAGCAGTAGCGACTGTTGGAGTGGCTGTGGAGGCCAGTAGGGTGCGTGGTCAGCAGGGCACGGGCTAGCGCAGTAAATGCAGCAGTGGCAGCAATAGCAGCAGTAGCGCCAGCAGCTGCAGCAAGGGCAGCTCGGCAGGGCAGCAGTAGCGCAGGCGGCAACAGCAGGGCGGCTCGGTGGGGCTGGGAAATGCTGCAGGGCGGCGCGGCGAGACAGGGCAGGGCGCAGCAGCAGCAACGCTTGCAGCAGCAGCAGCAGTAGCAGTGCACTTAGCAGTAGCAGTGCACTTAGCAGTAGCAGTGCACTTAGCAGCAGCAGCAGCAGTAGCGCTTAGCAGCAGCAGCGCGCTTAGCAGCAGTGCTCAGTAGCGCGCTTAGCAGAAGCAGCGCGCTTGGCAGCAGCGCGTGCAGCAGCAGTAGCTGCGTACGGGCTTGGGCAGGGCGGAGCTGCAGGGCACAGTGCAGCAGTGTGTGCGGCAGCAGTAGCTCAGGCACAGAAGCAGCTCAGGCGCAGCAGCGTAGCAGCAGCAGCGCGGTTGGCAGCAGCTGCGCAGCAGCAGCACTGTACGCAGCAGCAGCAGTGTACGCAGCAGCAGCAGCAGCAGCAGCAGCGGCAGCAGCAGCTCAGGTGCAGCAGCGTGCGAGCAGTTCGTGGGCAGGGCGAGCAGAGTGCGGGCAGCAAATGCAGCGCGCGAGCAGCAGGGGCAGCGCGCGAGCAGCGGGCGCAGCGTGCAGGCAGGGCAGTGCGCGGGCTGCAGGGCAGGGCGTCGGGGCGCGCGGGCTGGGCAGCGGGGCGCGCGGGCTGGGCAGTGGGGCACGCGGACTGGGCAGCGGGGCTAGGCAGGAAAAATCGACGCGCCTAGGGCGCGTTTTGGGCAGGATAAAAAAAAACGGGACGCGCCTAGGAGCGCGATTCGGGCAGGAAAACGAAGACTTAACGGTGGGCCCTTTTAAAAACCTGGTCCTAAGGACCTAATGGCTCTTAATACCATGTTGAACTAAGAGGAGAAGAATGATCGACTAGGTCAAAGGGTGGGGTACAAGAGAGTGTCGAGGGGATGGATGTACCCCCTAACATGCAATTCACTATAGGCTAGATAACTAAAGTGAAAATAACTTTGACAGTCTATTCCTCTGTTGCTCTGCCTGAGAAGACCAGAAACTACTCCATACATATCTGCATCTTACCCTAAAATAACCCCAAGTTATGGCATCTCTTCCTGATCATCTGATGGGAAGAACAGATACGGCCATACCCAGCTAGCAACAGGCCTGAAACCAGCAATCAGCAAGGCAAAGCAGAGGGCAAGAGCAGCAGCGAGCCCTGCCGTCTCCCCTGGCTGCACAGGCACACAAGCTAGCAACGATGCTGCTGCAGCATAGCTTGCCTGAGAGATGCCCTGAGGAGAAACACCACCAAAGCTGGCAGCAGCAACAGCAGCTGCAGCTGTGCACGCAGTTAAGACCACCCATTGCCTTTCCCTCGCTCCTTCCATTACCCGTTTCCCCTGGCCTTTCAGCTGTCTCTTACTCTCTGTCTCTGCCTCTCCCAGTGTAATCCTCCCCTTACTCCGTGACCCTGTCTCTCCCTGTGCGCCCCTGCCCTTGCTCCGCGCAGCCATATCTGCCACACTGCTCTGAAGGTCGTCTGCGAATCGCCTGTGTGCTGCTCGTCTCATGGCTCGTTCGGTATCTTCAGATGCTGTTGGGCCTGGGGCTGATGTGCTCTGAACGGCATCGCCCTGGCAGGGGATGGGCCACAGGGGAGAGAGAAGGGAGGGCAGCAAAACATACAGCACGGTCTAAACGCCTCAAAGGCCTGCTGTGGGTCCTCTGGGGCTGATGTGCTCTGAACGGCAGGCATCGCCCTGGCAGGAGATGGGGCACGGGGGAGGCAAAGGAAGCTGGACAAACGAGGTACACAGCTGGTTCAGGCGCCCCAAGTGATGCACCTGATAATCCACCTGATGAAGCACCTGAAGATGCACCTGATGATCCACCTGACGAGGCACTTGTTGATGTTTCGGAGTTGAAAATAAAGATGCACCTGAAAAAGCACCTTATGACCCATTGTTCCCTAAGAACAGATAACCACCTGAGTGCTTGCTGGTGGAGAGACGACAGCAGCATCTGGTGGCGCCACCTGGGCCACCTGAAGATACTCCTGAACGTCCAGAGGCCGCCCGAACTCCACAGTCACCCGTCTACGCAGGGGAATGGATCGGCCCTTCGGTAGAGCTTCAAAGGTGCCCTGGGTGGGTGGGTGGCGGTTGGAAGCAGTATGAATAGAAGAAGAGAGTGAGTGAACGAGTGAGTGAGTGAGAGAGTGACAGGCACGTCCAGCTGCTCTGCCAGCAGCCCCATGCCCGACTTGAAGGGGTGCAGAGGGCCGATGAGGGAGCACGAGCCTTCAGGGAATCTGAGCACTGCTGTGTGTAAGGGCACTATCTCTCACACTCATTCAGACAACACTGCTTACCTGGACACACACACGAACCATGGGCACGTCCAGCTGCTCTGCCAGCAGCCCCACGCCCGACTTGAAGGGTTGCAGAGAGCCGGTGAGGGAGCAAGAGCCTTCAGGGAATTCGCTCATAGTGAAAGAGCAGCAATTCTAAAGAGTGACGCTTAAAGCAACAAAAGGAAACGAAACAGAAATTCTTTCCTGGAAAAACGATCAGTAGAAGCCGATGAGGGAGCACGAGCCTTCAGGGAATCTGAGCACTGCTGTGTGTAAGGGCACTCTCTCTCACACTCATTCAGACAACACTGCTTACCTGGACACACACAGGAACCACGGGCACGTCCAGCTGCTCTGCCAGCAGCCCCACGCCCGACTTGAAGGGGTGCAGAGAGCCGGTGTTGTTGGGGAAGATGAGCACTGCTGAAGTGCAAAACGCTCTCTCACTCACACACTCAGACAAAAGCTCTCACCTTAACACAGACAGGCACGACAGGCACATCCAGCTGCTCTGCCAGCAGCCCCACGCCCGACTTGAAGGGCTGTAGTGAACCGGTGATGGAACGCGTTCCCTCTGGGAAGATGAGCACCGCTGTGGGGCGGTGGGGGCCGCTGGTTGCCTTGAGCTGCAGTAGGGTGTCGAGCTGGTGGTGGGAGGGGGAGAGGTGGAGGGGAGGGACGAGGGAGGAGAGAGAGAAGTGAGAGATGTTGTGGTATTGAGAGCAAGGAGGGGAGGATGAGCACTGCTGTGGGGCGGTGGGGACCGCTGGTTGCCTTGAGCTGCAATAGGGTGTCGAGCTGGTGGTGGGAGGGAGGGAGGAGGAGAGAAACAGGGGGAAAGGGTAGAGCAAGGAGAGCAAGGAAGGGTATATGAGCACTGCTGTGTGGCGGTGAGGTCCGCTGGTAACCTTGAGCTCTAGTAGAGTGTCGAGCTGGTGGTGAAGGCGGGAGTGGGAGGGAGGAGGGAGGAGAGAGAAACAGGAGGAGAGGGTAGGGCAAGGAGAGCAAGGAGGGGAAGATGAGCATTGCTGTGGGGCGGTGGGGGCCGCTGGTTGCCTTAAGCTCTAGTAGAGTGTCGAGCTGGTGGTGGGAGGGGGAGGGAGGAGGGGGAGGAGAGGGAGGAGAGAGAGAAGAGGAGGAAAGAGGAGAAGAAAGGGGTGTTAGGAAATCAAGAGCAGGGGGGGGAGGATGAGCACTGCTGTGGGGCAGTGAGGGCCGCTGCTGGCCTTGAGGTGGAGTTGATTGTTGCGCTAGTGACGAGGTGAGTGACAGTTTTGTGGGAGAGTGGTAGGACGGTGCAGAACGAATTCAGGAGGGTTAGTGATGAGAGCAGGGAGAGAGTGATGAGGACCGTCGTGGGGGAAACGGGGCGGCTTGGCTTGGCATCGTATTTATCCACACCCAACACACTTGCACATTGAATAGCTATTGCATGAGCACTGCACCATACCTCTTACATGCGCAAAGCAGCATAGCTCTTCCATGTGTGCGTGCACCATACCGTGCATGACAAACCGCATGTAGAACGTACCTTTTGCTGGGAGAACTTATTTTGAGGCGCCTTCTTATTTTGAGGCGCCTCAAAATACTCCTCAATGTGCGTGCACCATACCGTGCATGACACACCGCATGTAGAACATACCTCTTGCTGGGAGAACTTGCGGCGGTTGATGGGGATGACGTGCATGCATGTGGTCACGAACCATGCCTGGCGGGGCGGGAGGGATGAGGCAGGTAGATGGCCTATGAGAAAAACGAGCCATGCCTAGTGGGATGGGAGGGATGAGAGGTGGGAGGGATGAGGAAGAGGGATGGTTGATAGGGATGACGTGCATGCACATGGTGACAAACCATGCCTGGTGGGGTGGGAGGAGAGGGGTTGGGAGACATGAGGGGCAGGAGAGGTACAGTGTCAGGATTGAGTCAGTTACAGGCGGTCAATTGCCATCCCTACCAGAAGGGGGTTGCTGAAGAAGTAGTCCCGGGCACCCAGGGAATAGACCGGCACCCAGGGAATAGACCGGCACCCAGGGAATAGACCGTCACTTGCATGCTTTGAGACGTCCCTGAACTCGATTACCAAGTGTGTATCAGTCTCAGCGCCTGAACTACGTTCCCTACCAGAAGGAGGTTGCTGAAGAAGTAGTCCCGAGCACCCCCCTCAACCTCAACTCCCCGTTTCAGTAACAGGCAGAAAAAAACCATCCCTACCAGAAGCGGGTTGCTGAAGAAGTAGTCCCGAGCACCCAGCGCATACACCCGTGTGGCGCCGCCCGTCCATGCGCCCACAAATGTGGCCCCGCAATCCAAGTGGCTCTGACAAAACAGAGGGAATGTTGTAATATGTTTGAAGTAGTGTTTTGAGACGTCTCAAAGCAATCCAAGTGGCTCTGCCAAAACAGAGGGAATGTTGTAACGTGTTTGAAGTAGTGTTTTGAGACGTCTCAAAGCAATCCAAGTGGCTCTGCCAAAACAGAGGGAATGTTGAAAGAAGCACCAGGAACAAGCAAGATGAGGGTCGTGTAACACACACAGGCGAAAAGAAGAAAAGAACATGTGCAGTAAGCTTTTCTCTCTCTCTTTTGAGAAACACGGTACAGTATTTAATGGCCTTCAGGGTGAGGTAAGAGCAACATGGCACCCACCGAATGATTGCACGCCATGAAGAACATTCCACGATCCAATGGCAGATTCTCCGTGCCACGTGTCTCCTGCTCATTGGCACGTGCAACAAGGGAATGAGTCAGTAGTCATACCACTGCCCACACTTGCAAACCACTAACACTCCCTCGAGCCACCCAGCCTCTTTCCTACAATCACACAAAATATGATCCAATAATCACACTCACCTGCACCACACGTTTCCTATAATCACACGTACACCCAGTTGCGCAAGCCACCTTTTCCCTATGCTCCCTCACACGATGGAAAAAAAGAAGAAAAGAAAAAGCTTCTCCCTTATACCACTCTCACCTGAGCGAACCAGCTCTCATAGAGCCATTCCCCCCACAGCCCAAACAACCGCTCCACAACCATCTTTCCAATGCTGTAACCGTCAACCACTAAGCCATCCTTATCCGCCAACGTAACCAGTGCTGGTAACCGGATAGACCTTTTCTAACCTGCACGAACCAGCTCTCGTAGAGTAGAGCCATCTCCCCCACAGCCAGAACAGCCGCTCCACGGCCCCGGTGTAACCCCAAATTATCCCCATCCACCCCAATGTAATCCGTGCTGGTAACCGGGATCGACTTTCTCACCTGAGCGAACCAGCTCTCGTAGAGCCATCTCCCCCACAGCCAGAACAGCCGCTCCACCACCCCCTCTTTCCCGACGCTGTAACCCTCAACCACCAAGCCGTTCCCATCCGCCGACGTAACCCGTGCTGGTAACCGGGATCGACTCTTTCTCGCCTGGCGAATCAATCTCGCCTGTATTCGCCTCTGGAGGTTCCGAGGGGAGCTTCTCCTCGTGCTTACGCTCCTTGAGGGATCTCCGGATTCGCCGGGCTTCTCAGTAAGCGTTCCAGTACCGGCCGTTTTTCCCGGCTCGTCGCTCTTGAGAATGGCTATTCTGCTGAAACTCTTTTGCTCGCCTGATACGGTTGTGTCGGAGCTATCGCCTTGCGCGAGACGCTCTGAGATTGCGATGGAGACGCCTGACGTTGACGGAAGCTGGTCGCTGACGTTGACGCTAACGGAAGAAAGCGCTCCGTTACAGTCAGGTTTGCTCGTTCGAGAATCGGAGACGGAATGCAGGCTTCGCGGGGGGTGTTTCTCGCGGGTGCGTGCTTCTGAAGAGCACCCAATGTCAACCAACCGGGCATGCGTAAGCCTTGGTGGAATTCTAGCATCGCTTCTGTCGTTTTTAGCTAAATTGCAGCTGCTTGAACTGCGTACCACAAAATGAGGAAGAGGAAGCGACGACATTGGGACGAGGAACGTGGAACAGTGATATCTGGTAGTTAAATTCTGGTTCGTGTCAGGCCACACTTGGACCGGCTAATGCGACGAATGCAGAAAGCCGACGGTCTATTACCACGCAGAAAAGACACGAGCGGAATCGAGCTATGAATGTGCGAGATAGTAAGCCATCATCAGCGAAGAAACTCGGTTTCAAAATAAATCCTCCATAATTGTTCTGTCTGGTTTTGTCTGGGTTATCCTCGCTTGTCTTTCTGACAATTCCCACCCTTAGCGGGGTTCTCAGGGAGTGAGTCGTCAGGGGAATGCCAGCAGCGAAACCCACGAGTTCCCAAGGAGCAATTTTGGGGGGAAAGAAGAAAGTCCCTCGCAGGCAGGCGCAAAACCCGTCGTTAGCAGCGGTCGTCGACCAGTGAGCGATGCTTGTGCGAGCAATGAAAGGGGCGAGCGCATCCTGATTGGTTAGTGGTGTAAGATGTATGGCTTCGATGCACCTGAAGGCTTTCTTGGTGCAGGAAGCAAGGAGACATTCCTTAGTGATATGCGCGACATGCCATGCTCAACTGCAAATGTTAGAAAGCTGGAAAACAATCTCATATGAAAAGTTCAGGAGATTAGAATGAAGAACCTTCAGTAAAGTACAGAATGAGTTGTTAGACTACACTATATCAGATAGAAGGTCCATCAACCAAATTAAAAACGCAAACCAATCTTTCATGCACAGGTTTGCACTAGCACCTGCAACCTGCACATTCTGAGAAATTCCACCATTAAATCAACCCCAACCCTTAACCTCCACAGCTGAAGACTTTGACTTCAGACTCACTGAAGTGATCACCTTTCTTTCTCCCTCCACATCCACTGGGTTCATTAACCCGAAACCCAGCTCCAGGCTCTACTGTTTGTCCTGCATTTGAAGACAAACTTTTTCCAGGTGCTGCTGCACCCGTCCCTCCACAATGGTGTCTAAGCAATCCATAGCAGCATCCACCTAAGCACCTGTTAGATCTCCCAGACATCTCCCACCTAAGCGCCTGCTTCATCAGCCTTAGCAAGCTGCAGCCTCAACCTTAATTCCGCCACTCCCTCTCCCACAAACGCAGTCTCAGCTTCATTTTGCCCCTCCCCGCAACAGCTGATGCTTCAGCTTCATTCATCAACTCGCTCTGCTACAGCTGCACTCTCAGCCTGTGGTGACCCAGCCTCTGCTGCTGCAGGTACCCCCTCTGCTACAGCTGCAGCCTCAGCTTCATTCAGCCACTCCCTCTGCTACAGCTGCAGCCTCAGCTTCATTCAGCCACTCCCTCTGCTACAACTGCAGCCTCAGCTTCAATCAGCAACTCCCTCTGCTACAACTGCCGTCTCAGCCTGTGGCAGCCCAGCCTCTGCAAACTCAACAGCCGCCGGCTCAGCCTCTGCTGCTGCGGGTACCCCCTCCACTACAGCTGCAGGCTCTCAGCCCCAGCAGAAGTTCCAGTGATATCCTCTGCCGCTACTTCTGCTGCAGCGGCAGTCTCTGCTACAGGTGCCTCGGTTCCCGCCCCTGTCACTGCTGCTCCTGCTTCCTCTGCTATGTTTGCCTCCACTCCACCCTGCACTGCTGCCTCTGCTACAGTAGCTGTTGCCTCCTCTACTACAGTTGTTGCCTCCTCTGCTGCAGCTGCTGCTTCTGCCTCCTCTGCTACAGGTGCTGTTGCTGCTTCCTCTGCTAGAGACGCTGCTGCTGCTGCCTCCTCTGCCGCAAGCCATGGCTCATCAGTTGCCCCTGCCACTGTCCCTTCCGCTACCCCTGCTGCTACTTCTGCCTCTGCTGCCACTTGTTCTGCCACAGCTGCTGCTTGCCCCTCTCCTAGGCCCCCTCCCCCCTCCCTAAGCCCCTGCCCTTCCCCTTCCACCTCACCGGCCTTTCCTTCCCCGCCCTCTGTTCCAGTCGCCACAATCACAGCCTCATCCATCCCCATCTCCTCCATCCTTTGAGGCGCCTCAGCAGGCACCTGAACAGACACCTGATCAGGCACCTGAACTGGCGCCTCAGAAGTCGTTCCAGTGGCCACAACCACAGTCGCCTCATCCATACCCATCTCCTCCATCACTGCATTTGCCACCTCAATCTGCGACGCGGTTACCTCAAATTGCGACACGGTTACGTCAATCTGTGACTCTGTTACCTCCATATGAGCAGCATCAATTTGTGACTCTGTCACCTCCATATGAGCTGCTTCATTATGTGATAATACTGTCCCATCCATATCCGTTGCCTGCTGGTCATGTACCTCCATCCCCTCCATGCGAGTTGCCTCGAAAGCCATGTCTATTTGTGATGCAGACAGTTCCATCTGTGACGCTGTTACCTCCATCTGAGACACTGTCAGTTCCTCCTGAGGTGTTGTTGTTTCCACCTGAGGTGCTGTTGTTTCCACCTGAAGCACTGTTGTATCCACCTGGGGTGCTGCTGCTTCCGCCTGAGGCGCTGCTGCTTCCACCTGAGGCCCTACTGTTTCCGCCTGAGGCACAGTTGCTTCCACCTGAGGCGCTGCTGTTTCCACCTGAGCTGCTGCTATTTCTGCCTGAGGCGCTGCTGTTTCCACCTGAGGCGCTGCTGCTTCAGTCACGCCTAACGCCCCTCCCAAACCTGCCCTTGGCTCTTGAGTCTCTATTACAGAAACCACCTTCTCCCCTGCCTTATCCCCCTCCTCAATCACCTCCTCTTCCTCCTCCATGTCCTCCTCTGGCATGTAGTTATCCTCTCCAATCACCAAGATGCTCTCCACGCCCTTCCACACCAGCACTTCCAGAAGTGAGTGCTCCGTGCCCTCATATTCCACCTGATATAGGAGAAAGCAACAAGAAATCGAGAGTAAATCTTTCCTTCTCCAATCACCAAAATTCACTCCACGCCCTTCCACACCAGCATTTCCAACAAGGAGTGCTCTGTGCCCTCATATTCCACCTGCGGGCATGTGGGGAAAAGGGGAACAACAGCAATCACCTTACCCTCCTCAATCACCTCCTCTTCCTCCTCCATGTCCTCCTCTGGCATGTAGTTATCCTCTCCAATCACCAAAATGCTCTCCACGCCCTTCCACACCAGCACTTCTAGAAGTGAGTGCTCCGTGCCCTCATATTCCACCTGAAATAGGGGAAACACACAGCACTGTTTGTAGGTAATTCTCTAACCCCACCACCAAGATGCTCTCCACGCCCTTCCACACCAGCACTTCAAGGAGCAAATGCTCCGTGCCCTCATATTCTACCTGCGAGCGTGTGAGCAAAAGGGGAAAAGAAGCACTCAACAAGATCCCTCTAAGATGTGGACTCCACGCCCTTCTAAGGCAAGATTCTTACTGCATGTGGATTCTTACTGCATTCTAAGAGTATTTCTTGGTCTATTCATCTTGCCTTCAGCAACACCCACTTACTCACAGTGCAGCAACAAGCAGCCTCTATTGTGTATTGAATGCATGCACGCAGACAACAGATGATCTGCCCTTACTGGACGCACCGTGTATTTCTTGGTCTCTTCATCAAACGCGGTAATCTTCCCTTCAGTCAACACTCCCTCAAAATCCTTGACCACGTTCTTCAACCCTCAGCCATAGAAGCTTGTTTAGGCGAGCTGCAGTCTAGTAATCTAGTTTTGAGACGTCTCAAAACTCAAAATCCTTGACCATGCTCTTCACCCCTGCATGCAACCCCCCTAAAACCTAAAGCCCTCAATGCATGATCCCAAAACTCACAGTGTATTTCTTGGTATCTTCATCGAAAGCGGTGATCTTCCCTTCGGTCAGCACTCCCTCGAAGTCCTTTAGCACGTTCTTCCCTACCACCTTCGCGCCAGGCCCTGGCACAACCGCTTCCGCCACACCATTACCCCTCCCCAGCGCCCCATGTGCGCCCATCATCCACCCCTCCCCTCCGCCCATCATACCACCACCACCCCAGTCGCCCGCGCCCAACCCATCAGCATCATCTCCTGGGTAATTTCCGTTTCCAGTGCTGAAATAGCCCTCAGTATAAGCCCAAGCACCGCCCATCGCACTCCTCCCCCGTCCTCGCCCTCTTCCCCTCCCTCTCCCTCTTCCTCTCCCCCTCCCCCTCCCTCTCCCCCTGCCTCTTCCCCTCCCTCTCCCTCTCCCTCTCCTCCCTCCACTTCCCCATACGCCCATCTGATCATCCCAATACACTCCTCCTGGACTATAATCCTCGTCTTCCCCTCCTCTTCCTCCCCCTCTCCCTCCCCCTCTCCCTCTTCCTCCTCCTGCTGGTGCTGCTGAAGCGCCTTGATACAGCTCCACATCCACCCCTTGGTAATCCCTGTCGGCTGCCCCCCCAATATTCCCCATATGATGAACCCTGATACTGGAACCATCATACAGCCCAGTAGCACCCACCCCAGTGGTACCTACCCCAGTTCCCCCCTTTCCCCGCTTGCTGTGAGGCAATATTTCCCCTTCTCCCCCACGTGCCACAGATTCCGGATACAAAATCATATCTTCTCCTGGCTCCCTCACACGCTTTCCCAGTGCCGTGAGTGCAGTCTGGATCTGCACAGGGGTAGAAACAGCGGCAGCAGGAGCAGCAGCAACAGGAGGAACAGCAGCAGGAGGAACAGCAGACGCCGGCTTAGCAGCAGAAGCAGAAGCAGGATCAGGGGCAGCAACAGACGGTTGGGCAGCAGGAGCGGGAGCAGGTGTTGCAACAGCCGCTGCAGTTGCGGCAGGAGGAGCACGAGCAGCAGCATCTGGTACAGAGGCAGGAGGAGCCGCAGCAGCAGCAGCAGCCAGATCCGCATCAGGAGCAGGAGCAGCAGCAGCAACAGGGACAGCAGCAGCAGCGGTGCTGTCTGGGATCTTCCGCGGTCTGCCCCTGCCCCTCGCTGCTCCGCCCCTGCCTCCTCCCCCCTGCCTGCTTGGCGTTGCCTCCTCCGCAGCTGCCTCTGTGCGTTCATCCATCAACGTCGCCTTGTTGGCCTCGGACCTGAGGTGGGGGAGGGAGGAAGGGGAGGGAGGAAGGGGAGGGGAGGGAATGCACAAGCACCATCAGCACGCAAAGCACCACCAGGAGGTGACTCATCCACGGCTACCTCCGTCCGTTCATCCAGCAGCGTCGCCTCGCTGGCCTCAGACTGGGGGAAGCGGAGAGGGCGAAAAGGATCGAAGGGGACGCACAAGCACCAGCAGTGCGAAAGCACCACTCAAACTCAAAAGCAACGGCGTGCGTTGACTGTCGGATACCTACCTCAGTCCGTTCATCCACCAACATGGCTTTGTTGGCTTCAAACCCGAGAAGACCTTTGAGTCGACTCAAAAGTCATCTCTTTTTCAGTCAACTCCAAAGTCAACTCGTGCGTTGACTATTGGTTACCTACCTCAGTCCGTTCAACCAGCAACATGGCTTCGTTGGCTTCGAACCCGAGAAAAGAGAGCCAGACACAAACTCAATGTCACCTGGGAATAAACTAACAACCTCCGTCCTCCACCTGACCCCATCCTCCCCATCCTACCCATCCGCTAACCTTCCCGAGCGAGTTTTTTTTTTTCCTGAGGCGTCTTTAAAACTGACCCCGGCTTTCCCTTTTCCCACCCTAGCCCGGTGCGATACACTCAACTTTACCTACCCCTCCTTCCTCCATTACCCGCTTCCACCCTCCCCACAATAGCAAGAGCCCGCGATTGTACTTGAACAACCAGTGTAATAAAGCGCCTTCTTTTTTTTGTCAGACAAACATACACATTCCTAAAATCTCAAACGTTAACCCGAACCCACTCACCAGGTCTCGATGTCCGCGTTAGCAGCCGTTTCCTCTTCCCCCGATAACAGCAACTTCTCCACCTCAGGAACCTCCAGATCCTCCGCATCACCATCCTCATATCGAACCTGCCAGAACCGCGTACACGGACGCATAGAGAACCACCATAGCATGCAAAGATAGGAATGGCAATCCAACCCCCTCATATAGTGACTCGCCGACCTGACACCCTTTTCCTGACAAAGAACGTGAAGGGGGGATGCGGAGACGAACCGTGCACACATAAGCAACTTTCGAACCAGCACGTGTGATATACACGATCATATCCACCTCGAAACAGCACAGAAAGACTCTCACCTTGTACCAATTCTCCTCGCGGTCATAGTGGAACACTCTCCCGAGGTACGGCACGCCGCCGAAGCTCTTCCGAGCGAGACGGCCCAAATACACCGCACCAGCAGGAGGTGCAGGAACGTCCTTGCCCTGTATCGAAGCTCCACCTCCGGCAACCGGCGCACTGCTATCTACGGCCATGATATCCACGTCCCCTTCTTCCCCGTCCTTTCCACCCTCCCCGCCATCCACGCCATGTGTAGCGGCTGGTGGGACAGATGTAGCGGCCGGTTCGGCTGCTGTAGCGGGTGGTTCGATGTCTACAGCCCATGGATCGTCAGAAATTGCAGCGTCGCCCTCAGCCGGGGGCTCACGGTCAGCGGTTTTCTCGGCCTTTTCACCGACAACAGGTTCGACAACTTCGTCGGTCGTGGTCGCAACAGCAGCCTTGGAAGCGTCGGCTTTAGAGTCGACGTCAGTTTTATCCTCGACAACAGCTGTATCGGACTTTGACGGAACCTCCGCTTTGACTTCAGCGTCCGTATTGGTGTTATTTTCGATATCGGTCTTCTCTTCGGTACTAGCCGTGACCCGTCCCACTACGCCAGCTACAGTACTAGCATCAACCTTAGCATCAACGTTAGGCTTAGTGTCATCGCCAACACCAGAGTTAGTTTCACCGCCAACTGGAACTTCAGAATCGGTTTTAGCGTCTGGTCCAGCCATATTCGCAGGAACACTTGTCGCGTCAATCCCTGCTACAGTTAAAGCTGCAGCAGCTGCTGCAGTACTCGCTTCAGGGGGAGCATCAGTAACAGAGGGAAATGCTTCCAGAACAGATGCGGTCGTGGAAGCGTTTTGCTGCTGCGTCGATGCGTTCACAAGCGGGTCTTCCGCAACGGATGGAGGTTCGGAGTTACTTATAGTGCTGTTGTCCATTGTTACTAGACAGTGGGAATAACCCTAGGCACTTATGAGATACTTGCGGTGGTGATTGAAATCACTTCACTACAGAAAAGCTAACGCTCGACAGGACTGTCGTTATGGCTGCCTCGTGCTGACGAAGCCGCGCTCCCGTCCGGTGACCACGCGTCCTGTGAGTGGTTATGCCTTCAACAGACGAATGCAATGCAAAAGCAGGAAAGCAAACATTTCCCCTGGTTTGGTACGGTAATCACGGAGTGCTTGCTGGGCTCGGGGCGCACAAGCAAGTAGGGTGGTGGAGAACATAAGAGCAATTGAGGAGGGCTGGAGTGGAGGGCTGAAGGGTTGATGATTGGGAAATGCTCGGAGTAGGGATTGTCGCTATCGACGGCTTAGCGTGGAGAACGGAACTTTTAGCACCTTGGATTTCCAAGAATCCTCCCTTGGTTCAAAATTTCGAACTGCAAGCCACCTGATGTTGGGGTGCGAGCTTTTGTCACTAGAGGCTGATTCAGTTCACACTATAATTCTTAAGCAGAAAAGAGAAACCGAATAATAGCATGACATCAACATATTTTCTTCCTAGTTCATGGTGAACAGATGGCATTAACTTTATCCAAAAAAATAAGAATTAAAAAATATATATTCACGCAAATAAAAATTTACTGAAAACAAGTGTTTCTATAAATGCATGCATTGAAGAAATCATCGTTTATACCAGCTGTTAAAACAGACAGACGGGAAGGCTTTTAAGGGATACATCCGTGGATGTTGCAATTTGACGGTATTGACAAACGAGAAACAAGGTTCTTCCGAAATCTTGGGGAATTTTTTTTATTGATTCCTGGTTGGTAGTCCTATAAAAATCTGACCTTTCACCCTGCTTGGTCGGTCGAATCACTTCCAGTAGCTTCTCCGTGGGAACTTTTGGTTTGCGAACATCTAAACCAATCAACGTGATGCTTACCGTTGATTTTCCCACCAAATCACCAGACGTGGCGCACAAATCGACGCGCAACTGTGTGCGGCGCACAAATCGACGAGCAATTGGAGGAAATGACGGATCGCCCTGTTTTTATTTTCCGTTTTCTTTGGGCAGTGGCTTTGACGCCGCCTTGCTTCTCCGCTCGCGTCCGATTCCTTGGGGCAGCTGATTTCGACATTTCCAATTTCCTGTGACCAGGAAAATTCTGACGATTACCTGGTTTTAGTTTAGTGGCCAGTGGAAAAAATAAACCCCTCTCGGATGGCTGGCCATTTGGGAGGCATCAACCCTTAACACCTTGCCTCATGGTGTTTAGGGTTGATGCCTCCCAAATGGCATGCCCTCCATGAGGGGTATATTTTTTTTGTCCCGAGCTTCTCGTAGCTGATGCGACAATTCAATTTATGATCCCAATAAATAAACACAATATTAGTCTCTGGACTCGAAAAGGGGCAATAGCGTAAATAACTGACCGAAGGTATCGGACTCGAGCGCAAAGCAAGACGGTGTCAAAACCACTGCTAAAAGGAATCCGAAACCTGAAACCAGGGCGGTCCGTCATTCCCTCGCGCAACTGTGTACATTAAAGCCCCCTTTCCGCACATCGGATTATTTTCTGGTTCACGCCATTTCACATCCCATCTGTGTTGCGTTTTGTAAAGTAGTCAGCATGGCCCCTATTTAGCTAATCTCCTTGGATCTACCCATGGTGGAGTATCACGAGGCAGTGGCTGGGAGTTCGAGCTCCCCATTTTTTTGCAGTTTGCATCATTCCAGAACGTACGTATGCTCTATACTCCCCATTTTGCTTAGCTCTCCGCTAAAAATAGTATTGGAACGGATGTTTTACTGCTGCATCCCCAAATGCTGCCTGCAACTAATCATCACACCGTAATCTCTTGATTCTCACATCCCCATCACAAAACAGCCTCCACGTGCCCGCCCCTCGGAATTGACGCGCATCACCACCATTGCCATGCAACCAGCCCAATGATCCAACCGGCGTTCCCGCGGAGCGGAGACCTCCCGCAAGTGCCCCTTATGTTTCCCACCCGATCAAGAACCAGCTGCGCATGCTGCCGAATCTCTGTGCTACGACTGCGCGCGGTAGCCCCCGCGGTCTGACGTCATTCCCCCAGCTGTGACATTGGCCCCGCGTGTTCCCTTCCCATCCCATCCCATCCCACATTTCCCATGTGGCAAAACAAATACCTGGCGGAAACTGGCAGCGCATATTGCCCCGTCACATCTGAACCGTCCATCATTTTCGAGATTTACGTATCGCACGCGCCACCATCATCCCAACGGTGATGGGAAACTGAAATTCGCGTGAATTTCGAAGCGAAGTGATGTTTCTTCCCCACTGCTTTCTTTCCCCTCCGACCAACTTCGACAAGCAGCCATTTCTTGTTTCAACGAGTCAGTTGCTAGCCAGCTGTGAAGCTGTCAAGCTTTCGTCGAATTCGTGGAAACCATTAGTCGGCATTTCCAGAGTTGTCGACCACCGGCATATTCTGCCTTTCCAGCGGAAGTCTTCTGCTGCGCCAGAGCTGGAAGGTGGTATTATCGAGCTCAGCGCAATACGTCACAAAAGTTAACTGAATAACAAACAAGCAAAAAGGAAATATCCCTATTTCGAGAGTAGCCTTGGCGCACACGTCTCCGAGTTGAAGCATTTGACAACGTTCATGTACTCGCCATGTATTTCAACATCTCTACCCAGTGGGTGTCAGTAGTTTCGACATTTTCTGGGTGTTCGTGAGCTCATGAACGCCGTGCATGTGACGCAATGCGATGTGCTTGCAGCGGTGGCTGCGATTTTAGCGGCTGCACGTGCTATGGCAAGCTAGAGCTACTAGCGTAGCGAGGGTCAAGGTGTATACAGGCAGAGTTGACCAGTAAGTCGACTCGAAAGTCACCAGAGCGATAGTAGTGAGAAGTATCAACCTCCGCCCGAGCAGAACTAAATAGCATGGATCAACAGCCCCCGGACCGCAGGTGTTTTAATCAGAACGTCAGAAGCCCAGGTTGCAGCGAATGCGCCGCCGCCGAAGCAGGCAGCGGCAGTAGCAGCGGCTCTACTTTAGTCGCGTCTGTAGTCACGCCTTTGGCCAGCGATTCTCCTATAATCCCTTCATCTGCTGTCATTTCTCCTCCGGCTCGTGAGCGACTCGAGAGAAGAAGTAGCGAGAAGGGGAAAGCGGAAGCGGAAACGGAAGTTGAAGCGGAAGCGGAAGGGGAGACGGAAGCGGAAGCCAGGCGCTTGCTGCTCGCGCGCAGCGACAATGTCGAGATCGTGATCGACGCCCAGGATTCAAGTTCCGACAGCGCCAACGGCGCCCTCGGTCAGAGATCCGACGGCGTCCGCAGCAGCGGATGTTTCGGCGTGACAACGACGAGCACGAGCGCAGTGTGGTCAAGCGCGCGACTGACGCACTGCTTCGTTAACAACAGTTACGCTACAAGCAGCTCCGATAGCAGGTTCGGTTCCAGCACGAGTAACGACTCTACAGCCAGCAGCAGCAGCAGCAGCAGCAGCAGCGGCAGCGGCGGTAGCTCCAGTAACTCTAGTCCGGGCCGTGCGGACGATGACGTCAGCAGCGGCCGCGGCGAGCATGCGCTTGGCCCCGAGCTTGCCGACGGGGGGACTGCGCAGTCGGCGGAGGATGCGGGAGGACGAGGTAGCACGGAGGAAAGATTGCGCGGGAGAGCGTCGGCGCAGAGAATGTGGTTCGGAGCGCGTGCAGCTAGGGGCGCAAGGAGGGGTGCCCAGATCGCGGAAGGGGCGGAAAGGGAGGCGCAGGGAAGGAGCAGGAGCAGGACGAGCGGGGCCATGCGGAGAGCTGCGGCGGAATCCGCTAACGCGCATGAGGGGGACGATGAGGGGGAACGGGGAAATGGACGGACGAATGGGGGTGCGGAACAAGGGGGGAGTGAAAGCAATTATCAGCGTCCGCTATCTGTGGTGATACATGGGCCTGTATCGTCGTTCTTCGTTGGAACGCAGGTTGTTTATAACGGGGATGGGGGCCAAGGGCGGGATGCGGGCAACGGGGAACATAGCAAGAGTAAGAGTCCCGTTAAAGAGTTGAAGGAGAAGCACAAGATTGATGCAGATACAGGGGCTTGTAACGGGGATACAGGAGCATCCCCGGAGTTTATTATATTAGAGAAATCCTGCAGCGTTTTCGGCCACGCGGAGGCGCATAACGGGGCTGCCACTAACGTGTATTATGACCCGGCAGAAGGCAGCCACGCGATGGGAGGGGAGGAGAGTGACGACAGCTGTAGCAGCAACTGTAGCAGTGACTGTAGCGACGACAGCAGCTGTAGCCGCGAGCGAGGCAAGGGCGGCGGGCATAGAGAGAAACGCGGTGGTGGGGGAGGCGGGGACAGTGGTGATCTGATAGACTTCCAATTCGGTAAGGATATAGGAGGTTTCGCAGAGATAGTTGTATTACCAGAAAAAGTAGGATTTTCGAATATAGTTTCTTTGTCAAATGAAAGGTCCCCAACTCAGTGTATCTCAATTCGATGTTTTTGTCTAAGAATCCCCCATACCTCGACTCAGTGTATTCCCCTAACCACTTATCTGATTTGTTATGCACACTCTGTCCCCCGCCCCCCACTCTCTTCCCCGCTCCCCTCTCCCCCCTCCTCTTCCAATTCCCTCACCCACCTTCCACCACTCCTGTCAGTGAGCGCGTCGGGCGAATCAGAGGGCTCCACGTGGATAGAGGCGGTGCACCTGGTGCTGCCACCTGTCATCCCGCGGTCCTCCTCTGAGGCCACGTGGGATGCGCTACAGGCGCCAAACGGCACAGCTGGCATGGAGCCTATACTGGACGGCAAATGGGAGGCGGGCTTTAAGGGCACCAAGAGGGCGTTCGCGTGCCTGCTGCTGCTGGGCTGCCTCCTCTATATCGCCGCCTTCCTCTGTGAGTCCATATCCACCCTATGAGTGCACACCCAACCCAAAAAAATGGTCGGTTGTGTTGTTTCCAAGCGATGATTGTGGCACCTCATAACGTGCCTCAAAACGTAGCTTAAAACGTACCGCAAAAGGTACCTTATAACGCGCCTCAGAATGTACCTGATAACGTACCTCAAAATAAAACACGCACAAAAAAGTGGACAAGTAATACTCAAAGACCATTCGCCTGGTGAACCCCTCTTCACCTCTCACCACCCATCTTCCCCTCTCTGGACTCTCCTCTTTCCTTCCAGCTGGCATCATTGTCAACAGCACCAGTGGCGCTCCTGCTGCTGCTGCAAACACCACCAACGGCAACCACCCTGCTGCTGCTCTTCCTTCACATACTAGCAGCAGTGGCAACAGCGGCGGCAGCAGCAGCAGCATTGTTGGTGGAAATTATAATCCCAACATGTCGCTTAATGGGTACAGTTACCTCTCTGACAGCAGCACCACTGGCAGCAGCAGCAGCAGCAGCAGCAGCAGCAGCAGCAGCAGCAGCAATAGCGGCAGTTCCAGTAGTAACATTTCGGGCAACAGCAACACAACTGGTGACGGTGGCACTGGCAGTAGTGGTGATGGTGGTAGCAGTGGCAGTGGTGGTGATGGTGGTAGCAGCAGGAATGATGTGCCAATCGCCGCCCTTCTCGATGGGATGGCAGCATCCATGCTCACTTCACAAACCCTCTGGATCGCCATGTCATACCTGTGAGTTGCCGTACCAGTGAGTTGCTGTACCTGTGAGTTTCCGTACCTGTGAGTTTCCGTACCTGTGAGTTGCCGTACCTGTGAGTTGCCGTACCTGTGAGTTGCCGTACCTGTGAGTTGCCGTACCTGTGAGTTGCCGTACCTGTGAGTTGCCGTACCTGTGAGTTGCCGTACCTGTGAGTTGCCGTACCTGTGAGTTGCCGTACCTGTGAGTTGCCGTGCCTGTGAGTTGCCGTGCCTGTGAGTTGCCGTGCCTGTGAGTTGCCGTGCCTGTGAGTTGCCGTGCCTGTGAGTTGCCGTGCCTGTGAGTTGCCGTGCCTGTGAGTTGCCGAATCGAACCTGTGAGTGGCCAAACCTGTGCATGGCCGAAATTGTGAGTTCCTGAGCCTAGGAGTAAACGACCTTGTTATCCTGTAACATCTGGGAGCTTTCTTTCAGTTATATGCTGTGCCCTATCCATGAACTATGTTCTTAGTCCTATCACATTTTATCTGCTCCCCCCTCCCTCCCCTCCTTATCCCCCTTGCCCACATCCCAGCATTCTATACCAGCAGGCTTTTGAGAATTCTCAAAAACCAGCTCGTGTCCCGGTGATTGCAAGCCCTTTGCATAACTCTGAGCTACTATTCTAATTCCCCCTTTCGCCACTTTCCTCTCCTCCCCATGCCCCCAGCATTCTGTACCTGGTGATTGCAAGCCTTGGCTTGGCTGGTTCCCATTACAACAACGTGGTATGTGCTGCTGCTGCCACTGCTGTTATTGCTGCTGCTGCGGCTGCCCAATCCCTTCTCCTTGTATTCCTGTTCCTCCCTTCCGGTGATTGCAAGCCTTGGTTTGGTTGGTGCTCATTACAAGTGGTATGTTCTGCTGTTTTTTCAGTCGACTCAAAAGTCACCTCTGTTGCTACTGCTGCTTCTGCTGCCACATCTCTGCTCCTTCTAATGCTGTTCCTCCCTTCTGCCGTTATCCGCCCCCCCTCGGCCCCCATCCCCTCCCACATTGTTCCTCACCTTCCTGCACAGCTCCATCCCTGCCCACTCACCGCCTTTCTTTCTTCCTTACTTTCTCTTGTCCTTCGTTCTGTCTTGCTTCCCAAAGCAGTTTCTTGAACTCTGCCCTCTGCTGCTCTGTCCTCCGGTTTCTTCTCTCTGTGCTCTGTCGTAGATCCCTTATTTATACAATAACCCACTGCCTTTTTTCATCTCCGTTATTGCCTTCCTCACTTACAGAGCATGATGACGCTGTACATCTTGATCCAGACTACAGTGACAATCATATCAGTTCTCGATTCCATTCGTCCTTTCCTCCTCTTCTGCATCCTGCTCATCCTTCTCGCCATCCACATCAGGTTCCATATGCTATCTGTAAGTACACTTTGTACTCAATACAGACAACACCGTCCTCAATTCTATTCGTCCTTTCCTCCTCTTCTGCATCCTGCTCATCCTACTTGGAATCCACATCAAATTCCACATGCTATCTGTCAGTACACTTCGTACTCGATATAAGCTGTTCCAAGACACTTCCATGCACCTCCTTCCCATCCTGATACTTCCACTTCCTACCACTGAATACACCTTGATCTCGATATATTCAAGTTTTCTGAGTTTTGTTTCACCATTTCAACCTTCACCACCATCCTCCTTTTCTGCCATCCCTTCCCCACCCTCCACTCTCGCCCACCTCCCTGCAAAATTGAGCTCGCTTAACGTCACTTTCTTGCAAGGCTTGGAGGCCAAACTCTCATTACCAACCTCCCTGTTAAATGGAGCTAGCTAGTTATATAATGAACCCTGCACCCCTTTCCCCCTCCCACCCTTCCCTTCCCCCCTTCCCCCCTTCCCCCCTTCCCCCCTTCCCCCCTTCCCCCCTTCCCCCCTTCCCCCTTCCCCCCTTCCCCCCTTCCCCCATTCCCCCCTTCCCCCCGTCCCCCCTTCCTCTCATTACCAAACTCCCTATGTAATGATGGAGCTCCATCTAACAGGGTTCATTATCTCGTTAAATGAAGCCCCTTTTGTAATGAACCCTCCACCCCTTTCCCCCACCCGCCCGTCCCTTCCCCACTTCCACCTCCCTGCTAGATGGAGCTCGCTGAGCGTCGCTTGCTTGCAAGGCTTGTAGGCCGACCTGCTCCCCCTCCTCGCACCGACACATGGCCTTACGTAAGCATGTCACTCACAAAACAATTCGCCGCAAAAGCATGGGCATGTCAGGGTTGCTCTTGAGAAATCTCAAATCGCAACCCCTCTCATCGGTTCATACCTGCCTAGCCTTTATAAGCCCCACGCCTTCCTTTCCAGGCTAGTGCAATTGCGTTTCACTAATCATCTCTGTTAACATTTCTCCTAATATTTCCCCCAGACGTTTCTTACTCACCCTAACCTCCCTCCCTCTCTCAACTCACTCTCAACCAACCCCTCCCCCGTCCATGTGCTTTGAGACGTCTCAAAACCCGTCCATGTGCTTTGAGACGTCTCAAAACCCGTCCATGTGCTTTGAGACGTCTCAAAACCCGTCCATGTGCTTCTCGCTTCCTCTCTTCCCCAACCAATGGCTTCTCCTGAATTTCCAGTGGTTGCGAATGTTTCCTGGAAGTTTCTCGGACATGCTAAGACACACACCAGTGTCGCGATTCAGAGCGAGCGGTGACCCGTGGTACCAGGAGACTGTAGTGCGGTACAGAGCAGGGAGAGCGGAGGAGGAGAGGGAGAGGGTGCAAGATTGTCGTGCACTTAACCCCCCTCTTTCCCCCAACACCTCCCCCCCCCCCCCCCCTCTCTCCACCCCCCCCTCCCCTCTCCACCCAATAGCGTCTACGAATGTTTCCTGGAAGTTTCTCGGATATGCTGAAGCACACACCAGTGTCGAGATTCAGAGCGAGCGGTGACCCGTGGTACCAGGAGACTGTAGTGCGGTACAGAAGGAGAGCGGAGGAGGAGAGGGACGGGGTGCGAGAGAGCAATGCGAGGGGGCGTGGGGGCGAGGTGGAGGAGGGAAGTGGAGTGACAGCAGTGGGTGTGGGAAGGGAAGAGGGTCGAGAGCAACAGGGGCAGCAGAGGGAGCAGGGGAGATCGCAGCACAGAATGCAGCAACACATGTTGGACCTGTGGTGGAGTGGGTGGGGGGGAGGGGGAGAGGGAGAGAGAGGGCGTGAAGAGGGGAGGGGGCAGGAGAGGGGGAGACGAAGGCACGGGCACAGGAGGCCGCGCAGGAGGGATGGACCAGATATGGAGACGAGTGTTCTCGAGGTTAGCTTGCATCCACAAAGCGAGCAGGTGCAACCGGTACCATACCCCTCTCCGGCAGGAGCAATCCATAGCCTGCCCGCAATGCACCCCTCCCCAGCACCGTTCACTCCAGTCGCAGCTCATCCTGTGCCAGTGTACTCAAACTTAACCCCCTCCCCTGTGCCTTCTCCGGCTTTACACAGCGCTACTCTAACTCCCGACTCTTATGGTTCACCTGACCCACTGCTAGGACACAACCATTTATAATTAGCTTGAGTTCTGTATCCTTTTCATGCTATCATTTCTCTGAGAGCTCCGAATGTGAACAGCAACAATTTCATTTGTATATTTTAGCCAAATTTGGATCCAGGATATCACTTACGGCGGAAGGAACGTAAAGCATTACTCAAGTGTACTAGATCATCCTGTGACATTTGAGCGTCACAGGTCCAAGCGAATCGCAACGATTGACAAAGTCCATGGGACCGAATCGACGTCTCTACCATCGCCACGCCAGCTGACCTCACACTTTCCGACGGACACGACGACCCGATTGACCACGACAGCGCGACGCGGGTGATTCCAAGGCATGTCACGACCGCATTCCCGAACCGCATTTCTCAAAGCCCTAATTTTCGAAGTTCACACACCCCAACCCAACAATCCCAGCAGCAGCAGCAGCAGCAGCAACATAGCCTTACGTACTACAAATGCAACTCATTCTCCCTTCCCAATTCATCCAAAGCCAGGTCAGCTCAGCACAAACCATCTCCTGGAGATCCAAAACGCATCCTCTTCCTTGCTTCTGTTTTGGTTCGTCTCTCGCGTTCTCCCAGTCGGTCTCGGCTGTCTTCCGTAGGCTTCAGTCCGCCTGCCTGCAGAGAACTCGACTTAGGTGCCACAGCTTTGGCGGCTGAAGTTGGCAGTGGCTACTGGCTGGCAACGAGCGGGAGCATGGCGGCATGCAGCGTGAATCTGAAGAGGGTGGCCCTCCTGTGGATAATTTCAAATGGATTCTTTAGTGCTTGCGTGGCAGGTAAGTTTGTCAGAACCACTCTGAGATATTCTTTGCAACCGTCATAAAAAAAAAAAGAGGTTTCCACCTTTTTTCACTCACTTACTCAATTAGGTTTCTTCCTAAAGGCTGCGGGGATTTATATTGTTGATCCATAATACCTACACATCCCAATTTTGTTATTGTTTTTGGAAACGCACTGACCCTGCTCGCACGCTTATCACCCTGCAAACCTTGACCTACCGTAAATCTGTAGGTGATGTGCCGTCGTCCGGCAGGAGGGATGCAATGCGGACTTCCCGGGAGTTGAGGTGAGGCCACACTTTCACAAGACACCCCACCCCAGACTCATGCTCATTTCAGCATCACCATCGTGCCGCATTATCACCACCACAGTACTAGTACGGTAATGCGGCTGACACAGTTGTAGTCATTGTTGCTCTCTGTTTCAAAACGCCACCCACACACCGTGCTCTTATGTCCCCATGCATTATCTGATTCCCCACATCTTATTTTCTACCTTCTCCTCGCTCTGCCCATCACCCTTGCATCCCACACAGTGATGGCGGTGGTGGTGCTGGCGGCCCGTTCAACGTGTTCCCTGCACAGTCCTATCTCAACGTTTTCAACTTCAACATTCCACTGCCTCGCCTGCCCCAGCTGCCCTTCCCCTTGAAGGACAAGTTGAAGGACAAATTCAATAAGTTCCATAAGTCGCCTCCGCCCTCCCCTCCTCCTCCATCCCCTTCCCCTCCTCCTCCTCCCCCCCCTCCACCCAAGAAAAATTCCCCCCCTCCTCCCAAGAAGTCCCCCCCTCCTCCTGAGAAAAAGTCGCCGCCGCCGCCCGAGAAAAAGTCCCCTCCTCCGCCCGAGCACAAGTCGCCCCCACCACCCAAACACAAGTCTCCCCCGCCGCCTGAGAAAAAGTCGCCCCCGCCGCCCGAGCACAAGTCGCCCCCGCCACCCAAACACAAGTCTCCTCCTCCGCCCGAGAAAAAGTCCCCCCCACCACCCGAGCACAAGTCACCCCCTCCTCCTGAGCACAAGTCTCCCCCCCCTCCTGAGAAAAAGTCACCCCCTCCCCCTGAGCACAAATCGCCCCCTCCGCCCAAGCACAAGTCCCCTCCTCCCCCCAAGAAAAAGTCGCCCCCTCCCCCCGAGAAAAAGTCCCCTCCCCCACCATCTCCCTCTCCTCCTCCTCCTCCTCCTCCTCCACCCCGCAAGCCGTCCAAAAAGGATCACCTCATCATTATCCTCCTGAAAGGTGCGGCTGTTCTCGTGCGCAAGGCACACGGCATCCTCCCCCCTGGGAACGACGCCCAGAAGGAGGAGCTGTGGGATGTGGTGACAGCACTGGGGGATGCGGAGGTGTTGATCAATGAGGGGAGGCGGGAGCTGGTGCAGGAGCAGTTGGATAACAGTGTGGTGACTTTGGAGGAGGTTGGGGGGGAGCTGCAGGGAGGGTGGCTGCAGGAGCAAGCTGCGGGGGGGATGATTGGGCTGGCTCGAGTGGAGATCATGAAAGCTCAGGCGCTTTTTCAGTAGTGAGGGATGAGAAGTGAGAAGGAATGTGGGGTTGGTAGCAAGCAGGGGCAAGCAGGGGCTGGGCTGTTTGCAGCTGGCTAGAGGGGTCAACTGGATTGGACCGAAGGGGTCAACTGGACAGCCATGGTGAAGAGCTGAATCGAGGGGAAATTGAAGAGCTGGTACAGCGGTGAATAAAGCTCAGGATGCGTGGTGTGGTGGCCGGTCATGGTGTGGTGTGCTGGAGTGAGAATAATCGAGCTGCTGGGGCAACCAGCAGTGAGAGAGAAGCTAGCGCTGCTGGCGGCTAGAGAGAAGCTAGCGCTGCTGGCGGCTAGGTAGCTGGTGGGTAGGAAGGATGATGACAGGGTGTGCTGTACGCTGTATACAACAAATTCAATAAAAGAGATGCAAAAACAATTGCACAACTTACTGGAGTATCTAACCCCACTTTTGGATCCCCTTCTAACTGGCAGATGATGCTCTTTCTGAGACGCTTTAGTCCCCGGTGCTTCTTATCAGGAATTGGAAATTCCGCCAAAGGAGAGGCATAATTGAGAACCACGTAGGCTCGTTGTCGCTAGGGCTGTGGTAGATGTTCTCTAAGTTGGTTCTCTGACAATGTCGAGGAAATTGCCTCTCCGATATGATAAGCAGAGTCTGGTAATCTCAATCATCCTGACGTCCTGTTAATAGCGCTGACGCTTATATTCGAGGAGAGTGAAATAATAGGTGAAAGCGAGGAATCGGATGGAACGGAAAAAGGAACGAGGGAGGAATAGTATGAGAGTGGAGAGTCTGCAAACTGTCGAATATGTTAGGAGTCAAGTGTTTCTCTAACCGCGTGAACTGACGCATGCATCGACACCATTCTCAATCCCACGCTCAATGTCATGCTATCCACCGCCGGAACTGATTACTCCATATCATGCTCCCTACCACCAGCAATTTTGGACGTGTTCTCGTTCCTCGATGCAACGCTGAATGTGGAACACGCCAAAAATCGCCGGTTTTTAGGATCCTAGAATCCTAGAAGAAACCCTAGGATCGTTATCCGCATGTCGATATCATGGCTGCGGCATACCCTATCATCATGTTGCCAGACTCGTCTTTTTCCGAAATGTATATTTTCGGCACATCTGTCCCGGTTTACATTGCTTCGAATCGAACACGCATAGATCGTGATATTCGCCGCTTTTGCTCCCGGTGAAGCCATGGCAGACATTGACAGAGTGCGGAGATCACGGGTGAATCTTGGGACATTCCGCCTTCCCGCATCGCGCAAACGAGGAGTGACGGACGCGGAAACCAGCGACCCTCGGAGGGTTTCTCTCATTATTCTCTCATTTACGGCCCTCATTTATTATCTCTCAAACAAAGCGGTTCGTCCCAGCGCGAGTGGTTCTACTGCAAGGCATGAGGAACTGGATCTGGTGTGATTGTGGAAAAAAAATGCGATGTCGGAGAGGAAATAGGAGGGGGGCGGGAAGGGGGAAAGTCGACTTCCCTCCACATTGGGATGTCAGGGGTCGGTCGCGCCAGCCGTGGTTTCAACATCGGGTACTCACAGCTGTTTCGGTAGAGACTGATACTGGAAGTGTTTTTGCGATATTCAATGAAATGTAACGTTGGATTATGACAGACTCACAACTTTGTTCTCATGGAAATAGGGTCTTTTTAGGTATTGCATACCACGCCATACTACACAGACCCCTTGCATTCGCCTAGACAAGAATGGTATTGTGCACGTTTTGCTTATGAACTTGAAGTAAAGCCACCTAGAAAAGCCTTGCTGGGATGAACAATTCAATCAATCCAAGAGTGACCCACTTAGGGCCCTCCAGTCACTAAAGTATTACCGTGTGACTTCTCTATTCTTCTGTAGTGGCACGAAACAGCTGACTCTGTAACACCGAACCTCATTTCATCGCTGCGCGAACCTCGGCAGTGACTGCCTCCTGCTCCCTATCTGCATGCAGGTTGGCAACCTTGCCCTTAACAGCATAGTAGTCAATGACCTGCAAATGCCAAAAGGTGACAACAAGTGCTGAGAGTAAGTCAAACGAACCTCCTCTTCAATGAATACAGGAATGCGCGTTTGAAAGGCCAGAAAGCCTGTGGGGGATTTCAAAACCATGGACAAACAATGGGAATGGAAAATAGGGTGTCAATTACTTACTGGTGAGGTCTGCTTGTGAAATGCTGCCAATCGGCTGCGAAGAGTCTCTGCATTGTCATCCTTCCGTTGCATCAGGGGCTCGCCAGTGAGCTGACAGTCAACAAGGGCATATGGGGGATCGGAGGAGGAACAAATTGAACAAAGTCGACCTTCTGGCTTGACAATGCGTCAGAGTGAAAGCGAGTGTGGTTGAATGTGACTGAGTGCATGAGTGTGTAAAGAGAGAGAGAGAGAGAGAGAGAGAGAGAGAGAGAGAGAGAGAGAGAGAGAGAGAGAGAGAGAGAGAGAGACTGCCTCGGGGAGTGCCTCACAATCGTGTGGTACCATGAATAGTTCCAAGCATCCCACATCGGTTTATCTGTTGTTGAGGTTCCTCAATCAAGCGGAACGACTCACATCATCCTTTCCAGGAACCTTCGGAGGAGCGAACTTGGTGTGGTAGGAGCGTCCGCTGGCAGGGTGGATCCACCTGCCGGTGATCCTCTCCTCCAGGACGGAGTCAGGAACCTCGAAGTTGAGCACCTTATCGACCTTCTGACCCTTCTTCTCCAGCATCGCGTCAAGCTGCTCAAAAAAATGGGACACAAAAAAGACGCCTGAAAAAAAAATTAACGTGCTGTTGATTTTCCCCTCCGGGAGTAGAACCAGGAACCTAGAAGTTGAAACACATTGTTCACATCCTGATATTTTCTCTCCAACACCGCGTCAAGATGTCGTTCAATGCAAATATGATAGATTTGCGGTCTTATGTTATATTGAAGGCATGGTCTATGTAAAGCGACCCCAATGGTGATGCGACACCGACGAGAAGTAGTCGCCTTCGCTTACCTTCTCTGCCTGGACGACCGTGCGAGGGAAGCCGTCAAGGATGAAACCCTTGCTGCAGGACGGCCGCTTGATCGCTTCCTCGATAATGCCCACCACCAGTTCGTCGGACACGAGCTCACCCTGGTTGGATACAGTCGGAAGATTGAGATTGGTCAGAATGCATCGCAAGTGTTGCAGTAAACTGCACGAAGCGGGGATACACTACGACAAGTGATCACAGCTAGCGCGACTGGGTGCATAGCAACGCGAGCATTCGTGCAACACACCTTTTCCATGGTCTCTTTCGCCTTTATGCCCAACGGCGTTTTTTGAGCGACGGCTGCTCTGAGCATATCGCCAGTGGCTAGATGGCACAGGCAGTTCTCCTCCTTGATGATGGGAGACTGTGTACCCTTGCCACAACCGGGAGGACCTGGAAACAGGAACTTAATCGGTTCAGAAAGCAAAATCAGCTATCGAAACGATTCGTTGAAGAGGACGGCATGGAAGGCATGCATGCGAAAGCTTAAATAGAGGAAAAACATTAGGGGAAAAAAAGGTCTCACCGATCAGAATAACTCTCTTTTCTGGCTTTGGAGCGCATTTCATTCGCCTCAACAGCTCGCTCATAAGGTCCCTGTCGCAATAGTCTTCGAGGGCAGCCATGATAAGACGCTGGTATGGAATTCGGCAGAGTTAACAAGCACCAGCAAAGATGATCAGGCACGGCTAGGCAGAGACCCCAATAAAGTATAAAAGTACGACCAGACTCCCAGAAAATAGTTTCTAGGCTAAATTCCAACAAGCCAGGAAGTCAGATTTGGAGGCTAGATCAGAGCTCACCCTTGGTTGAGGACTTGTTTGTTCAGATGGACCAGCGTCAGGACCCAGGTCAGACCAAACAGGTTGGGATGGATCAGAGGCCGTTCGATAATACATGAGAAACCCCTAGCCTCAAATCGGTCGGCTAAGAGGGACGAAATGTGCAGTTAAGCAAATTCTCAATCCGACTCAGCATAGTCTACGCTGCCAGGCTGGAGAAATGTGTTCCCACACACGCTTCGTCGTCAGAAATTTGCCCGAGATGGTAGCGTCAGAAGTCACGTGTGCAAATCACCGTGGCACCAGGGAACCAATCAAGGAAGCAGCAGCAGGCTATCTCGATACAGTACTGCCAATACCCAATACTTGGAGTACACTTCGGCAAAACGGAAAGGTACGTATGCCATAAACTTTTTGCTCTCACACCCCATTGATGCATGGCTTGAATGGCCTGTCTCGATGGACTGTATCGTTGTTACCATCTCCAGCAATCGAGCTTAGGGAAGAGAATCTCGAGGTTTACCCAAATCCATGGCATCTCTGGCCATAAACAGTATTATCCAGAATGGCGCCATGGTACAGCATAGACTTCGCCACGATGTTAGGGTTCTTAGCGTCTGCTCCGCGTCGTCAGCTACCAACTCGGTTAGAACCAACGTGGGGACTTCCGCATCCGCTCGAGCAGAGAACCTTCAGACATGCTTGCATTGCGGGAATCCTTACAATCCGGATGACAACTCTCCTGTAGCTTGCAAATACCATGGCCACATGACAGGTTAGATGCATCTCTTCCAGTGTTTTACATCACATGTTTCGACGTCAGGCATTTCTGGGAGGTCAAGAAAAAAGGTTATTGCAAGTGACGCGGTTGCATTCTCGAGATAGTTTCCCCTATCCTGCTTCTGTTACAACAGTCGTGGTGACTTGATATTTAAATCATCCTCTTCATTCTGCTGTTCATCTCCTTCCCGCCTTCCCTGCATTACTGCTCCGCATATTAACTGATACTTTCATGAGCAGGAGACAAAGGATTGTTCGCGTATGCACCACCTCATCAAGGTGTCGACGGTGACTGGTCAGAAAAGAGCGGAGTGATAGTCTATGTTTGGAACGACAAGGAGAACCGACCGAATTCAGGACACAAAAACTGGAAGAGGAGATGGACATGCTGTGGAGTGTATGATGAGAAGGGTGCTCCCTGCAGATCTGGCTGGCATGTTTCTTACGATGATGGAGCAACCATATTCTGAAGCTCAAGGATTGTTTCCGACAACCTAGCTGGTCAGGCAACTGCACATTACCGTATGTTCACCTTCCATTAAATTTTAATTGTGAAAGCTTGCTTTCTGCAACTTGTAAAGGCATCGTGCTTAATTTCATATGGGTATGAGGGTACATTCCGCTGTGGACCATGTCCCAATCGATGTGTCCCAATCACGATTTGGCCGAGTCGCGCTCAAATGTCTCGAGTTTGCATGTCCCAATCGATCGATGTATTGCGACTCTGTACAGACGCGCGACAATTATGTGCGAACGTTTGTGATTGGTTATAGAATAAACATGCCCACTCGTCCTTGCGCAGCACATACACCAACACCTCCAGGTCCGCGGTAGATCCTTGGTGATGTCCAGGGAGGCCGCGGAGGGTACAGTACTCCTCCGCAGTGCCAATAATTGCCTCAACAGCACATACATCTGCAAATCATCCTCTAGTACGTCAGTTTTTATAATCAAACATAGCACAGACACCATTACTACACACGCATAATCCACGCATGATGGCAGAGCCTAGAGCCATCCCCTTCATCCTACGCCTCCTCGTCGCCTGGGTCACCTACTACTACACCATTTTCTACGAAAATGTCGCGAAGTCCTTCGTAGGCCTCATAGAGTCCGGTGTGTTTGAGGACGCGGACGAGCAGTCCTCATCGTCCGGGGACGACACCGGGGAGAACCGCCGTCACAGAGCGAGTGTACGGCGGCGACGTCATGCTTTGTGGGTTGAAGACCTGCAACACATGCGGGAGAACGATTTCCAAGACATATTCAGGATCAACCGCGCCATACTTGAGCATGTAAAGTCTGGGATGCGACAATATATAGAGCACATCGTCCATCGGTCGATAATCACAATGGACACTGCTTTGCTCATCCCAATAAAGTACTTGGCGAGTGGGATTTCATTCGTCGACATGTCGTACCTGTTCGGTGTCTCCAAGACACTCTTCCACGAGCTTGTTGACGTGTTCCTCACCGAGTTCCCCTCTGTCTTCAAGGCCGCCTGGGTGCGCTTTCCCACACGCGATGAACTTCCCGAGATGGCGCGTGAATTCGCTGCCATCAAAGGTGTACCTGCAGTGGTGGGGGCTGTGGACGGGACTCACATCCACATGAAAGGGATGGAAGGGCACAGGGCGGAGTACTGGACAAGGAAGTCGGCCTACGCCGTTCAGCTCCAAATCACGTGTGATGCACGAGGCAAGATATGGGATTACCTCATCGGCTATCCCGGCAGCGCGCACGACATGCGGGTTTTCAAAGAGTCTGCACTACTTGAGAGGTTACACAACGGGGACATAGCCCCATACCAGATTGTTGGGGATGCGGCCTACCCGCTACGAGAATACTGCCTAACCCCCCTGCATGCACCGCGCGGAGAGGACCTAATGGACGATTGGGCCCAATGTTTCAACTACTGCCAGAGCGCCACACGCATGGCGGTGGAACGGTGCATCGGCGCCTTGAAAGGGAGATGGCGCATCTTCGGCGGGCGCAACGACTGCAGGTTGTGGCGCATTCTCGCAGGAGCCGCGTGTTGTGTGATCCTGCACAACTTGTGTGAAGAGATGGCAGTCGTTAGGCGCAAGAACATGGCCGGGTTCAATCTGCCCCGCAACCGCGATTCTTGGTGGACACGGGGTGCCATTGCGACACAAAAGTGGGAACCCTGTGTTCCCCCAACACAACAGGCTCTGAGAGAGAGGCGGAAAAGACTGGGTGAGGCCCTGCAGGACTCTTACGCTAATCGTCGGCGCCGCGCACCCATATCTCCACATCCTCAGCACCCGGAGTGACGGTTTTGACGTCGCCAACATCGTCGCCATGCTGTGCGGCTTCGGGAGGTGGTGCAAACTCCCCGCGTGGCGGAGGAGGGCTGAAATCCGGCGGCGCACGGTGCACGTCCGGGGGCGCCGATTCAGTCATGCGCTCGCGGGCAAGTCGCATGTCCTGCGCCATCCATTCACAGACGAGGCTCTCAATGCGCGTCATCGCGTCACCGTGACAATCCTTGATGGTCGCGGAGACCAGCTTGGCTGCTTGCATGGTAGCCGTCTCATGCACCCGTGCGCGCCTAGGTGTTGCGGTGGTCGGCGGCGGCGGAGCTGTGATAGAGGAGCGGGGAAAATAGTAGTTTCGATTAGTCCGACTACCCTTGTTTGATGTAACCTGCATATTGGCGAATAAAATAAACGGATTCATCGTATTCAAACTACGATAAGTCAAACGCATATCAAGCTAGAGGTGATAGAAGCACGACTCACCCGTAAAGGTTGGTGTTGACATGCCTGGCTGAGACGAACTTGGAACCTCCATGCCGGCCAGCACGTTGACGTCCGTGGCGCCGCCGCCGTCCACCGCATGCGGTGCGGCTGCGGCGGTGTCCTGGTTGTGCAGCTCCAGGTACGGATACCACGGTGGTTTCTCAACCGAGCCGTGGCCTGACCCCCCGTCGCCACGCTTGTACTCCCGCCAGAGGAGCGTCAAGTTACGCCACTGCTTCTGCAACGCGTTGACACCCCTGCACCATCCAGGGTTCGACTCCTTGATGTGCGCGAGTAGTCGGACCCAGTATTGCGTCCCCTGCTTCCCCTTGAGAGGCTCGAGCTCCTCTTTCATGAACCACTTCGCCGCGGCGAATATGGTGCTCTCCTTGTCCGACCATAAGCCCCTCTCGACTGGTGCAGCCGACCGCTTCTTCCGTGGCTCCTGGCGTGGCGGTGGTGGCGCCGCCTTGCCTTTGCCTTTGTTCGTCCCAGATGCGCGTGCGGCGCTCCGTTTCGTAGTCACAGACACAGGTTGCGCTTCCTCCTCCGCGTCGTCCTCGGCGTCCTCATCTTCATCGTCGCCGTCGCTGGGCGACATCCCAGCGTCTTCCGGTTCCTCCTCGTCGTCGTCGGTGTCGAGGCCTTGTTCGGGGTCATCATCATCGTCATCGTACGCATCTTGCTCCACGACAAGCCGGTGTGTTGCAGCCGTCCTTGCAGGCTGACGACGCACACGTGACGGGGCCGCACTGGGCGACTGTGCACTGGATCCCTGGCCGTCAAGCACGGGCGGCGCGGATAATCCCTTCGGATGGCGCCCGTTGGCGATCTGCTGGTTCATCCAGCGGATGTAAGGAATGTCGTCAAGATCCTTGGGGCAGTCGTTAAGGGCCTGCCCCTTACGCTTACGAGCCATGCTGGCGGATAAAGTGCTTCTAGATCTAGATCTTTAGGGAGAGGGAGCAGAGAGAAATGAACAGATTGGA